CATGGGGTGGATGGTGTTTCCTGAGCCACGGCTCTAATCTGAGTGCAGATGTAGCTCCTTTTTTCAAATCATATTTTTCTGTCAAATGTAGAAGTTTCTGATATAGAGCAGGGTCGGATGCAAAAAGTACAAGCAACAATCAGAGAGACACCTTTTGTTAATGTATATGTTTCCACCTATGCTGGTAACCGCATTGATTTTTTTTATAAGCCTATTGACACATTAAAACAGTTTAATAGTAGTTCAGTAGTAGTGGTAGGAGGGGACTGGAATTGTACCACAAATGATTCGGTTGATAGGAATGGAAGAGAGCCTAATTTATCATCAGCTTCTCTTTTATCAAAAATTATTCAAGAAAATGATCTTTTAGATGTCTGGACGAAACTCCATCTAAATAGTAGACAGTAAACTTTTGGTGAAAGTCCATGAGGGCAGGGTTAGTGCAGCCAGACTGGACAGATTCTATGTCAACCAAACATACAACAATAGGTTGAGTGCAGCCATGATATCACCTGTTGGTTTTTCGGATCATCATTTAGTAACTGTTCGTTTTTCTTTAATGGTGCATCCCCAAAGATCTCCTTTTTGGTATTTTAACATCAAATTCATTTATGACAAAACTTTTTGTCAGTTTTTTTCTGATTGCTGGGGACAGTGGAGAAGCATAAAATCTAGTTTTGAAAACATAGGTCAATGGTGGGAGGTGGGGAAAACTCAAATTAGAATATTTTGTCAGCAGTACTCATCACACACAGAAGCAATAGAAAGGGATCACCTTGAATTATTGGAGAAGGAGATTCTTTTATTGGAAGACGGCATAATTAATGGGTTGGATAAAAATAATGATAATAATCCAACTTGGGATACGAAGAGGACATCTTTGAGTAGGTTTTTATATGAAAAAGCTAAAGGTGCTCTAATTAAATCAAGAATCCTGTCTATTAAAGACATAGATGTGCCCACTCGTTACTTTTTTAAGTTGGAAAGGAAAGTCAGGCAACAGAACCAGATGATACACCTCAAGAACCTCAATGGAACGGTGACTGCTGACCCATCAGAGATGAGGAAGTTGGCTATAGACTTTTACAGAAGCCTGTTCAGTGCTGATGACTGTGACTCTGACTGTTTGGAGGAGATCCTGGAGGGACTCCCTCGGCTGGAGGAAGCATCTTCAGCTTTACTGGAGTCTGTTATTCATTTCGATGAACTGTCTGCAGCGGTGAAACAGCTCAGCTGTGGTCGGTCTTCGGGCATCGATGGACTTCCTGCAGAAACTCTGGATTTTTAATGGAAAGGACTTAATGGAGGTTTTCCAGGGATGTTTGGACTCTGGGACACTACCAACGAGCTGTAGGAGGGCAGTCCTGACATTGCTGCCGAAGAAAGGAGATCTGGGTCTCCTACAGAACTGGCAGCCTGTCTCACTTTTGTGCACAGACTATAAAATTCTGGCTAAAGTCTTATTGAATAAACTTAAAGAATGTATGGACACGATTGTACATGCCAGCCAAACTGTGTCCCTGACAGGAATATAATGGATAATTTGTTTTTGATTAGAGATATTATTGACTTATCTAAATTTCAGGAGTTTGATATAGGTTTGTTTTCTTTAGATCAAGAAAAAGCCTTTGATCGAGTTGATCATAATTATTTGTTTAAAACTTCGAAAGCATTCGGGTTTGGTAAAACCTTTATTTCATGGATTCAGTTAATATATTCAGGAGCCACTGTACTGTTAGAGGTAGGAGAGGGTCTTAGCAAACCAGTATCTGTTCAGAGAGGAATCAGGCAGGGATGTCCTCTATCTGGGATGCTGTACGCTTTAGCTATGGAGCCTCTTTTGCATAAGCTTAGGCAGAGTCTGTCAGGGTTAAACTTGGTAGAAAACACTTGCTTGTGTTTTCTACCAAGTAGAGAAGTTGTCCTACAGGGGGAGGACTTTGGTCTCGAACTGTCAGGCTGCATCTATGCTCTGGCACCGTGGAATGGATATCATTGGATCAAATCTGCAGTACTGTTTTTACCTGTGTCTGAAGGAGGTCAGGGACTGATTGACCTGAGGAGTCGCATAACTGCGTTTCGGCTTCAGACGGCACAGCGTTTTCTTTACAGGACGCAGCAGCCCTGGACTGAAACGGCTTCCTTGTTGATGCATAGAGTGAAGAACCTGGCTTATGAGAAGCATTTTTTTCTCTTGGAGCTGGACGGTATGGAGGTAACACAGACTTCCAGTTTTTACCAGTCGGTTCTACATGACTGGAGAACAGTTTTAAAAAGTAAGAGAGATTTCCCTCAGTTATATGGGTCGGTGGAGGAGGAACCTTTGTTTTATAACCTGGCCATTCAGAGCAAGATTCTGGGCTCTGACAGCGTTCGGAGGATCCTTACAGCTGCTGGGCTGACGAAGCTGGGAGGACTGAGGTCAGCGAGTCAGTGGAAAAGTGCTGCCAGACTGTGTCAAGACGTCGGAAGTAAGTCTTTGCGCCTCATGGACAAACTGGTGGAGGAGGTGATGAATGGACTTCCCGGTTCTTTCAGGAGAGCATTAGAGGCAGAACACCACACAGAAGAGAGTCGAGGTGGGCTGATGTGTTGGCGCCAGGTTCATCTCCCAGGGGCAGCTGGAGGTCCCTGTACAAAGCTCCCATAGAGAAACGCAGTGCGGATCTGCAGTGGAGGGTAGTACACGGGGCCGTGGCCACGAACAGACATGTGGCGCGTATTGATCACAGATCAGGGAGTCAGTGTGTTTTTTGTCAGGCTGAGGAAACGCTACAGCATCTATGGCTTAGATGTTCCAGACTGGTTCCTCTCCTCTCATTGCTAAAGCAGTGGGTGGGCGGAGTAGGATTCCGTTTTAATAATGAACTGTTTATTTTTGGTCCCAGATACTCAGTAGCACAACGGCGTAATATTTGTCTGGTTAATTTTTTGTTTGGTCAGGCAAAGATGAGCATTTGGCTCAGCAGGAGAAATAAAATGAAGGAGAAAGGTTCTGTAGATGTTGGCCTGATGTTCAGAGGGCTGGTAGCTGCACGTCTTAGGACAGAGTTTGCCTTTTATAAGATGGTGTCAGACTTGAAAGAGTTCATCTGTATTTGGGGAGGTAGAGATATTTTATGTTGTGTAAGTGATGAATTGCTTACTCTCAGTTTTTGAGGGTTTTAATTTTTTATGGATTTCAGGCTGTTAGGATGATTGTATATAGATGATTCACTTGTGAGTTGGTATTATAATGACATATTGGAGCAATAAAAGGAAGTTCATGGTTATTCATGTTCCTGGGCCGCGAACCAGTGGGCTGGTCTGGATGTTAATTTCAGGGCGTGAAAAAAGTCCAGGTCAGAACCAAATAAGGCAACATCCCAGAGTTTAAGTCAACTCGGTGCTTCGTTTGGATTCGCCTGTTTTATTGTGGAAGTTTAGAATTGTGAGATTTGCAGAGAAAGGAGGAGTTGATGGAGTTTGAACTCCTCTGTACGTCTATTTCACCCACTGAACTATCGTTATTCATCTATGACAATGGAAACTCTGCATTCTATGATCCCTTTAACAAATCTGGAAAATAATAAAACCTTTACTTAAAGGCACACTTTGTAACTTTTGGCCACTAGGGGCACAATACTTGTAACTGCCCATATTTTGCTTCTAACGAACATCTGTCATGGTCCGTTGTTGTCTGACCCACATGCAGAACACTGAGGAGACAGGTAGGGCAGATTTAAGATCTTTTATCAAAAGAAAAACAAGGACGACATGCTGAGTTTCTTCAGGGCGTCTGAAAACAAAGGGAGCGTGAGGCACACTGCAACATAGAGAGAGAGTTAATGGGAGTATGTGTACGATGAAAACGGCAGCACTAAAAGGGCCGCGTGCAACACGATTGATCCACCAGGGGGAGTGAGCGGGGTTGTGGACGTCTGTAGGCGGGAAATGCAGCTTGCCGAGTGGGAGGAGGCTGGTCGGCAGGGCTCGACCAATCAGTCTAGTGGATGGCATCAAGTAAGAGACGGCTGGTCGCCATGCTGATTGAGCGCTGACGTGACAGCTTGAATCTCTGAGAGGCTGCAGTGCGGACCAGACCACGATCGCATCTGCAGAGATCTGTGACTTTCTGAAGGTGCTGCGAAGTGGGATTCAGAGCAGAACGACCACGTATGGCTAACAGGAGAAAAACAAAGACAGAAACTGCCGCAGCACCCTGACAACATCAAAAATAATACAGATCTAAGACTGTATACTAGGAGCACAGTGTTAACTTACCAGTCTAATAATACGGTTGAGAAAAGCGAATCGGTTTTACATCCGGCTTCTTCTTTCAGCCTGCACCAAAGAATAATTTTTTTCCAAGATGCACTCTTGCTTTTCCTCAATCCCTTTCACATTTTCTCTTTTTAGCCTCTGGTTTAAACTTTTTCCTTGCCTCAGCCATGACCAGTAGCCTATCAGGTGGAAAAATAGTCGAACTAAAGCCTTAGCGATATAAGAGCCTGTAAAATGAGCGTAAAGTGATACATTCTTCCAGGTTCTTTCACATGACCTGATCAATAACCGTCCATCTTCTCCCAACATCCATACTCGGTATTTGAAAAGGGGAGCATCGCTGTAGCATTGATGGTGTCAAGCTCTGAATTTTGGCCCGAGGAATCATTTAACATAACTCATAATTACAGACCTATATCTTATCATCCTTTCTCTTCTAAAATGCTTGAGAAAATTGTTGCTAAACTAGTATATAACCACTGCTCTGCATCTGATGCTGGTTACTTCTGAGTTTATAGATTTCAGACTCATTACAGATTCAGTTTGTATTTACAGGAAGTGAAAACTGGAGTCAATGTTGAAGTGTTTGTCTGCAGGACACAAAGCTATGCCATGCCAGCTCAGAGCAGCAGAGACTATTCGGATGGAGAGGTCATACCAAGATGACGGCCACAGCCCTGGACCCAGTAAATCAGCGGGTCAGGTTGTAGGTGTGAAAGAAGCCGTGGATGAATTACCTCGATGGCCACCGTCCACAGGATGAGCTGGCTGTCGGAGTCGGGGAAGAACGCTCTGACTTGTGGAGACATGCCGATGAGGCCACAGTTGGTCACAACAGCAATCACACTCATGGTCTCAAAGGCGAGCTGCAGATGGAGAGAAAGCAGATCAGATGGTCAGAGACACTGGAACCAAGACACACAGGTTACACCCGGTCAACCATTTACAGTCAAGAAAACTGAATGATCTGGTTGATCTGGATCTATAAAGTGACCTGAGATGACATGATGTGAATTGGAACTTTAGAAATAAACTGAATTTATCTGAATATTTTTGTTCATTGAGAATTCAATTCTATTCAGTTTATTTCTATAGCTCCAATTCACATCATAGCATCTCATTTCACTTTATAGATCTGCATCAATCAGATCATCCAGTCAGGATGATTCAAAGTTTTCTATCAAAGAAAACCAGCTTATTGCATCGACTCATTGACTCCTCAGCAATCCCTCACACTAAGCATGCTTGTAGCGACAGTGGACAGCCTTCGACTGGCTATAAAATACTTGTGTAGCTGTAAAATTATGCTTTTCAATCACTTAAAAAAATAAATATACTTTTAAATACATTTAGTTCCTGTATTTCAGAAAAAAATATCCCAGCAAAATGACGTTACAGGCAGCAGAACGTTCTCCACGGCTTCTCCAGACCCTTTCACGTCTGTCACATGTTCTCAGGGTGAACCTGCTCTCATCTGTGAAAAGCACGGGGCGCCAGTGGCAGGCAATTCTGGTGTTCTGTGGCAAATGCCAATGGAGCTCCACGGTACCCGGCAGTGAGCACAGGGCCAACTAGAGGACGTGGGGCCCTCAGGCCACCCTCCTGAAGTCTGTTTCTGATTGTTTGGTCAGACACATTCACACCAGTGGCCTGCTGGAGGTCATTTTGTAGGGCTCTGGCAGTGCTCCTCCTGCTCCTCCTTGCACAAAGGAGCAGATAGCGATCCAGCAGATGGGTTGTAGACCTTCTACGGCCCTGTCCAGCTCTCCTGGAGTAACTGCCTGTCTCCTGGAATCTCCTCCATGCTCTTGAGATTGTGCTGGGAGACACAGCAAACCTTCTGGCAATGGCACGTATTGATGCGCCATCCTGGAGGGGTTGGACTGCCTGTGCAACCTCTGTAGTGTCCAGGTAGCGCCTCATGCTAACAGTAGTGACAGTGACCCTAGCCAAATGCTCAACTGGTGAAAAAGAGTCAGAAAAGATGAGGAGGGGATAAAATGTCAGTGGCCTCCACCTGTAAAACCATTCCTGTTTAGATGGTCGTCTCATTGTTGCCCCTCTAGTTCACCTGTTGTTCATTTCATTAACACCAAAGCAGCTGAAAATGATTAACACCCCCTCTGCTACTGACCTTATACACACACACGATATGAATGTAATAAGGGGCCATTAGAACTGTCCCCCACCCCAACATTAAATGGTTAAGACTCTATTGTCCCGGACCCTAGCAAAGCTGACAGCTGACCTGCTTGAAAGGAAAATCATTGCATCCCTGAGAAAGTAAGGAAGATTTTGATGAAAGGCGGCAGCTGTATGTTCAGATGATGTGATCTCAGCTTCTAGCTGACGCTGATCTATTTCTCCAGATAATGAGAAGAACCTAGAAACATTCAGCCTTCAGTGGCTGCAGGAACACTGTCATTAAGCAGAGAGTGGGATCCATCGTCTCTCCTCTGAGCTAACGCCTGTGCTTCCACCAGGAAGCTGCAGTCCTCATTATTTTACACCTTAACTTACCAACACCCAACCTGTTTAAAGCGCAGGAATGACTAACATGATAATGACTCGCTAGTTACTGGGAAAGTAACCTGGTTATGCAGCGCCTTACTCAATGACACGTTAGTCCCAACACTGCACATAACTAGGAAGGCTACGACTTCCTTCTAGCAGAAAGTGTTTATTCATAGAAACGGGATTATAGACGAAGAAGGAAACCTTTAAAGGTTCAGAGATAGATCAGCTGACTGAGAGCTGAGCAGCAGCAGCAAAGGTCAAAGGAGCGCGTCGTTCATCCCTTCATCCGCTCCCCATCTCAGACACCAACATCCAAATGTTAACGGATGAATCCAGAGCCAAACCTCCAGATGTGAATGGATGAATTCAGAGCAAAACATCCAGATGTGAACGGATGAATTCAGAGCCAAACCTCCAGATGTGAACGGATGAATTCAGAGCCAAACATCCAGATGTGAACGGATGAATTCAGAGCCAAACCTCCAGATGTGAACAAATGAATTCAGAGCCAAACATCCAGATGTGAACGGATGAATTCAGAGCCAAACCTCCAGATGTGAACGGATGAATTCAGAGCCAAACATCCAGATGTGAACGGATGAATTCAGAGCCAAACCTCCAGATGTGAACGGATGAATTCAGAGCCATGCCTTCCAGATGTGAACAGATGAATTCAGAGCCAAACATCCAGATGTGAACGGATGAATTCAGAGCCAAACCTCCAGATGTGAATGGATTAATTCAGAGCCAAACATCCAGATGTGAATGGATGAATTCAGAGCCAAACCTCCAGATGTGAACAAATGTATTTAGAGCCAAACATCCAGATGTTAACGGATGGATTCAGAGCCAAACATCCAGATGTGAACGGATGAAATCAGAGCCAAACCTCCAGATGTGAACGGATGAATTCAGAGCCAAACATCCAGATGTGAACGGATGAATTCAGAGCCAAACCTCCAGATGTGAACGGATGAATTCAGAGCCAAACATCCAGATGTGAACGGATGAATTCAGAGCCAAACCTCCAGATGTGAACGGATGAATTCAGAGCCATGCCTTCCAGGTGTGAACGGATGAATTCAGAGACAAACATCCAGATGTGAACGGATGAATTCAGAGCCAAACCTCCAGATGTGAATGGATTAATTCAGAGCCAAACATCCAGATGTGAACGGATGAATTCAGAGCCAAACCTCCAGATGTGAACGGATGAATTCAGAGCCATGCCTTCCAGATGTGAACAGATGAATTCAGAGCCAAACATCCAGATGTGAACGGATGAATTCAGAGCCAAACCTCCAGATGTGAATGGATTAATTCAGAGCCAAACATCCAGATGTGAATGGATGAATTCAGAGCCAAACCTCCAGATGTGAACAAATGAATTTAGAGCCAAACATCCAGATGTTAACGGATGGATTCAGAGCCAAACATCCAGATGTGAACTGATGAAATCAGAGCCAAACCTCCAGATGTGAACGGATGAATTCAGAGCCAAACATCCAGATGTGAACGGATGAATTCAGAGCCAAACCTCCAGATGTGAACGGATGAATTCAGAGCCAAACATCCAGATGTGAACGGATGAATTCAGAGCCAAACCTCCAGATGTGAACGGATGAATTCAGAGCCATGCCTTCCAGATGTGAACGGATGAATTCAGAGACAAACATCCAGATGTGAACGGATGAATTCAGAGCCAAACCTCCAGATGTGAATGGATTAATTCAGAGCCAAACATCCAGATGTGAATGGATGAATTCAGAGCCAAACCTCCAGATGTGAACAAATGAATTTAGAGCCAAACATCCAGATGTTAACGGATGAATTCAGAGCCAAACATCCAGATGTGAACGGATGAATTCAGAGCCAAACCTCCAGATGTGAACGGATGAATTCAGAGCCATGCCTTCCAGATGTGAACGGATGAATTCAGAGCCAAACATCCAGATGTGAACGGATGAATTCAGAGCCAAACCTCCAGATGTGAATGGATTAATTCAGAGCCAAACATCCAGATGTGAATGGATGAATTCAGAGCCAAACCTCCAGATGTGAACAAATTAATTTAGAGCCAAACATCCAGATGTTAACGGATGGATTCAGAGCCAAACATCCAGATGTGAACGGATGAAATCAGAGCCAAACCTCCAGATGTGAACGGATGAATTCAGAGCCAAACATCCAGATGTGAACGGATGAATTCAGAGCCAAACCTCCAGATGTGAACTGATGAATTCAGAGCCAAACATCCAGATGTGAACGGATGAATTCAGAGCCAAACCTCCAGATGTGAACGGATGAATTCAGAGCCATGCCTTCCAGATGTGAACGGATGAATTCAGAGACAAACATCCAGATGTGAACGGATGAATTCAGAGCCAAACCTCCAGATGTGAATGGATTAATTCAGAGCCAAACATCCAGATGTGAATGGATGAATTCAGAGCCAAACCTCCAGATGTGAACAAATGAATTTAGAGCCAAACATCCAGATGTTAACGGATGGATTCAGAGCCATGCCTTCCAGATGTGAACGGATGAATTCAGAGCCAAACCTCCAGATGTGAATGGATGAATTCAGAGCCAAACATCCAGATGTGAACGGATGAATTCAGAGCCAAACCTCCAGATGTGAACAAATGAATTTAGAGCCAAACATCCAGATGTTAACGGATGAATTCCATCCATTTTCTGTTCCACATCTTATTTCTATATTAGATTGATCTCACATAGAGTCAATTACTGTTCTTTCTTTGGACCAACCAATGAAACCAGAGGCCCCTGAATCCCCGCATGCCAGCTGCGGGGGGAGGGATCCAATGTTCTGGCATCTAGAACGGAAGAGCTGCAGAATATAGAATGATTCAGCCTGATCGAATGGTGCCTTATGCCATGATCATACTTTTTGGACATTGGGAACCAGTGTCCATATTTCACCTTGACATCACGATGTAATATCAGCTGTGGAATCTCTGCAGCACCCCCCCACCCCCTTTAAGTCAAGGCCTCTACAGGACCTCCCACAGAGGTGTGACTTTGCCAGCCCCCCTCTATGTGAGACCAGATAAAACCACAGAAAAAAACAGATTTGATCTCTTTGCCCCCTCTCCCTCGCCCATGAAGCTGGAGTCTACCACCGGCAAGATGGAGATCCTGCCAGAGAGGAAAGACCCAGATCTCCAGAATCCTCAAGGATAAGTCAGAAACTTTCAGAACCAAACTGCTGAGACAAAGAACCCCCGGTTGTTGCTGCCCTGACTGCTGAGCTGAAACTTCCAAATGGATGTGAAAAGAAAGGTTTGCAGGTCTGGCATGATTTGGGACAGAACAAACAACGTGTCTTTGATGTTGATCATTTCATGTGTTCACTGATGAGTAAAGACGATGCTAACAGGATGGACTGCATGCTACGCTATGCTATACGGAAACGTGTTGAGCTGTTGCTGAAGCTTGCAGCTTTATTCACTAAGGGTTTAAACACTGATATAACATTAGTGTTCATGTGTTCCTCAGATGCTCATTACATTTCCATTAGCAAGTCTGACCAAGAGTCATTTAGTGGAATCCTGATGTCTATTCGCTGCTAGCTATTTCAAAGAGGGTAAAGAATCATTTAACTAAAGGTTATTGTCATGATCTGGCCTGTTTGCTCCTCCTTATTTTTTTATTTCTTTCACCTGTCATTTCCCCTCCCTGCTGCAATTATCATTTATTCCTCTCACCTGTCTCCTTTTCCTTTTTATATTTTGTTCAGCCTGAGCATTCGGGGCCAGATCATTATTTGTTTTCTTTTCAGTCTGTGCCACGGTTCATGTCCTGGATCCTGGCGGCCAGTGGACAGAGGGTTTTGTGTCTGTCTCGTCTCCTGATCATCCACTGTTCCTACCCTGATGAGCCCTCTGGGTTTTGGGCTCTTTCCGCGGGGAGGTTCAGTTTTTATCCCAGTAAGCCTGGCTCCAAGGTGGAGACCAGTTTAAAGTTCCTGCATCAAGTTCTGGTTCCTCGTCCTGTCTCTGCTACCCTTTACCACTGAGCCTGCCCATCTGCACCTGATCCTGTCTGCTCCTGTGTGGGACCCCCTTGTCACGCTTCTGGACCCTGTGAGAGTCTCGACCTGCCTGGGAGGCCTACGATGCCTGGAAGCCTGGATCCTGCCACCTGTCTGATCCTGCCTGTTCTGTATCCCTGACCAGGATCGGCTTCCTGCTAATCCTCCGGAGCTGCAGCACCAGGGACACTGTGGGTGACATGCACCGCGTCAGCTGTCAGCCGATTGGCTGGAAAGCGTCCCCTACAAGGGTGAGGGACTGAGCTGCTAAACCAGGTAAGTGACTCACTGAGCTCATCATCTTCTGTCACATAATCGTGGTCACTTACCTGTGTTTCTCCTACAGAGTGTCTGTGATTGGGCGGCGCCCTGCCCCCCCCCCCCCCCTCATGCAGCATCCGAGAGCCACAGATCCTAGCAGCTCCACTTTAGTTTTACTTTTGTTTGTTTTCATTTAATAAACGTTTCGAACTTTCCTACTGACTGTCCGTCTCTCCTTGAATACTGGGTCCATCTGCCCCATTTCATGATTAAGCAAATCATTTAATAAAACATTATTTGGCAAAGAATGTTTCATTCACCTCATGGATTTGCATTGTGAATTGGTCTGAAAACATTCAAATTTCTCCAAATTAGTGAAAAGCTAATTTGATCAGATCCAAAACTCTTCCAGATAAATCTTGGTTTCCAAACTCCAAATCCATCTTAAACTGTAATGTGGTTTTCAACCATGCTTCCCTTCCTCTTTGTACATAGTAGTTAGTTTAGTTTCAGTAGTTTTAGTTAACCCTTTAACATCCACCTCATTTTGGGTAATGCTTGCCCATTTTGCTTACCCAAATGGAAGAGCAAATAACTTAGGAACTGTACGCCCAAATGATATGTGCAAAGCATTATTTGAAAGCTAACCCCCTCTAGTGTCCTAATGTATAAAAATGAGGTGAGTGGAACACAGACCAACCTGCATCAGTTCAAATATGTCAAAGTTGTTTTTTTATTCTTGGAAATTATATTTTTTGAACAGCAGTAATAAAGACATTCTTGAGAAAAAGCAGGTTGTATTGTATAATATTTGTTCTTCATCATGTCGACCATTAATGCAGAATATTTCAGACCTCTAGCTACACCAGTTCCAGAGCTGTGGGCTTTGGAACTTTTGGTGTCAGCTTGAAACTGCGCTCAATGGCTCCACCTGCTGGTAAAAATTTTACTGGTGGAATTTTATGCATTCTGAATTATTAACCCCACTTAAGGTCCACCTGGTTGCCGGCAACCCGCTGGGTTTTAAGAGGTTAATAATGTTAAACTGAAATATGTTTGACTTGGAGCTGAATGATTTTTGTTAATAAACTCTTATATTTTGAACAGAAGTTGTGGTGAATTTATTCCATGTGTGCAGAAATAATTGTTTGACCATGATTAGTGCTTGAATCACTCTTTCATCTATTGTTCTAACACACAGTTAGTAGGACTGTGTGTCATAAACAGTATATAACAGCTGAAATAAGATATTTTACCCCCCCCTTCTGGGGAGGGCGATAAACATCTTAAAGTATCAGAAATAAATTCCCAGCGGGCTGGGAAGAGAAAAGAACATAAAATCACAACATAAGGAACAACAGATGAGGTAGAAAAGGAGAAACTACCAGCAGACTGATGGAACTAGACTTCTACATCAGTCTGGAGAAAGAGAAACGATGATTCTATGTTTAGACCGCAAGCAGCAGAGGAGCAACTAGTTTACGTACAAAAGTTAATAGTTGATGCACATCAAGGTGCAGTAAAAGCTCCCAGAGCGCGTTTTGAGCAGCAGGAGCAGCGCCTCATGAGCTTCTGATGTGCTGAACGCGCTGCAAACACTGCTGGAATTGGAAAAACATAACTTTTTCTGTCGGACGCGTCACATCAACCAATGAGAGAAGCTGATCTGGGAGCTGGCAGGGAGTCAGACACAGCACTGCTGATGCAGAGCGCTATGATCACACCTCTGAAACAGTTTATTAACGCCTAAATTAACTTCAAATGTAGAAACCTGCCGGCAAAATATGTTGGCTTTTATTATCCTGCTGCCTGCAGTTTGTAGCACAGACCTGAAAAACGCTAACATCTACTTCCAGCCGCCACCAACAGGAGGGGAAAACCCCCAAGAGGCGAGCGGGCCTGAGGCAGCTGCTGCTGGGGATTCCCAGTGACAGCGCAGCGCCGGTATGTGGGGGTCTGAGCGGCTCCCACAGAGAAGTAATCTTTGAAGGCAGTAGTGTTAATTTCGTTAACGAAAACTAAACGAAAATATTTTCGTCAACGCACATTTTTCACCGAACGAAAACTAGACGAGACGAGACGAAAATCCCCACTAATAAACAATAATTTGGAGTAAATCAGAAATAATTTTCGTCGACTAATAAAGATGAGACGAAAATGCAGTTCGGTAAATAAAGACTGGGCTAAAATCTATGGACATTTTAGTTCACGAACAAAGACGAGACGAAAATTATATATTATTATTTTATGTTTTTTTCAAATCCTGTCTCGTCTCCTCCTCCGCCTCGTCAGCTCCCACACACCCACTTTCAAACCTGGAGCGGGCGGCACAGAGTAGCCTACTCTGGGGCTCGGGAGAAAGAGGAGACGTGATATATGGACACATTTTCACTTCATTGAAGTGGAGAAAAAAACCAAATGCTTGATTTTAATGGAAGGGAAGGAATATGGCCACATGGTAGCTGGAAAAAACACAACAAACCTGAAGAGACACGTCGCAGTTTACCACAAAGACATTACGGTAAGTTAACAGAAAGATTGGTGGTGGTTGTTTATAATGTAACATTAAATCGACGGCTATAATGTCCCAATGATAAACTAACTGATGTTGGCTAACTTTCATAGCATTTAGTATCCAGGCTGGCTACGTTACGTTAGCTTCTTAGCACGTAGCGACGGTAGCCACTTGTTGATAGCATTGTATGTAAAGTTAAATTTATGCTAACTTAGATATGTTATACTGGCCGGGCAACTGTAGTTTCTGTTAAATTGCAAGTTTGATTAAAGCAGACAGACGCTTTAAGTAATCTAGGAGCTGCAAGTGAACTATAGTTAAAACAAAACAACTCGGCAGCTACACATGTATGCTAAATGCTAAAACGAACTGAAACTATTTATCAGGATAAGACTAAATAAAAATAATACGCCACACGTAATTCAGAACAGCTTTAACCTAGATTTTCATATACAAAATAGTCATTGCTAGGGGAACCACTGCAGGGATGTCTTGGTGACATAAAATGCTGCTCTGTTTATCTGCATATTACTATTACAAGGACATTTGATTTGAATTGGCATCAATATTAATACAACCAAAATGCATGCACACATAAAAATGTCTGCAATTTATTCCTGCATAAGATGATAGTTAGGTTGTTTGTATGAGTTTGAAATGGATGGTCAAATGTAGTTTTTACAGAGACTTAGTTTTTGTTAAGGAAAAAAAAAGACCTATATGCTACTTATACACTTGGAATTCCTGTTATGCTGTGCATCTATCCTGACATTGTATTAATTTCTGTTCCAGATTAAAGATACACCACCAACAACAACCTACCAGCCACCCAGAAACAATGACAGGCCAGCTAAAGCTGGAAGGAAAGCACTTTTGTTGTATCAGTTGGAGTTTTTTTTTTTTTTACAACATTGACCTCAAATCTATTTATTTTATTATTCTATGTGAACCAGCTTTAAACAGCCAGCACGTGTGTTAAGTTCATAAGACACTTTATTTTATTTATTTGTTTCCTTTGCCAGGTGTGTTTTATTTGTTTTAATGCAAGCATTTGTGTTTGTGTCTGAACCTTAACAATGTTCAAAATAAATATGCAAATATTGTCAGAACATCTTCCATGTCTGCATGTGTTCCTTAAAATTGTGTTTTTATCAAAAAGATGAGAGAAAATGTTGAAATAATTTTAGGAAATCTTAAACGTTATCTGCTGACAAAAAAGTAAAAGGTTAAAATTATTTCCTGACTAAAACTAGACTAAAATGTTGACAGTTTTTGTTGACTAAAACTAAACTAATAAAATTATGTTTTCTTGGACTAAAATAAAGACTAAAATGTTTGACTTATCATCGACTAAAACTAGACTAAATAAAAATGCGATGATGTCGACTAAACGTGATAAAAACTAACAAACGATGCTGAAACTGGACTAAGACTAAAACTAAATTTAAAAATGGCTGCTAAAATTAACACTAGAAGGCAGGATGGTAATCTGGATGAACTGACTGCACAGACCATGTTTTCGGGAGGACTTTCTCACTTCAACATAGATTCTAACTACTTTCTACCCGCTGATCACAGCTAATATAGCTGCCATTGTTCCAGGCAGGGAAAGGATAGAGTAGCTCCGCCCACCACGCATCAAACCCACTTTACCACTGCGAGTACAAGCATCAAAAATGAAGCAGCACGCATGTTTCTGCTGCTCCTGCTGCTTTAGGTGTGAACGTAGCATTAGAGACAGGAGGAAGATGGAGGATGAGGCGTTTGATCCTGAATCAATCCTGCGGAGGATTAAGGAACGGATTAGTTCATAGGAGCGGTTCCTGAATGAGACCGAGTGTTTTTAATCACTCTTTTAGTCCTACATATTTACATGTTTTATATATCAACAGGAGAATCTATCCATCCTATTTTAGCTGAAATTTGATGCCTTACTTCATTTTAAAACCTAAAATGGAAACAGAAATCTGTTTTTTTATGATGGAAACAAATTTCATACAGATGTTGAACATCATGGACGACATCAGGAGCAGAGATGTGTTTCTTCAGTCAGGGAACCAACCTGCCAGACTCCGATGTTTGAAGCCGGATCAGCAAAGGGTCGTTTGAACACTTGACACATCTTGAAGGCGTCAGAGTAAACCTCTGTGATGTTGTTCAGAACCACCAGGACAGCAGCCAGTGGGTAGACGCAAGAGAAAAGGCTCACGTACCCAAAGAGCAGGAAGAGCTCCAGGTAGTCGTCAAACGTGCCCTGAAAGAAGAAGCGATCAGAGATCAGCCACTGCTGACCTCACCACGGAGGCTCTGATCACAACAGGACTGAGCTTACCAAGTACGTGCTCATATCGGCCTCCAGCCGCACCTGCTCTGCCAGAGGAAGCTCTTTGTCTCCAAGGGTTCTTCTCTTCTGAACTTTGCGAATCAGCTTCTTGTTGCGCCTCCTCTGCAACCAGTAAGGCAGGAAGGCCTCCATGATCTGGTTCAGGATCTGACTGGTGATCAATAAGGTGGCCAGACTCTAACCATGGAAAATAGCCCAGAGGAAAGATGAGTCCAATCACGAATCGCTCAAAACAGTAGACTGACCTGAGAGAGTCCACTTACCTGCCGGAGCAGCAGCATGTCCTGCATCACAAACGCAATGTAGAACAGCGAAGCAAAACAGTTGAAGAAGTTGAACTAAACGAGCAATAGAGAACAAATCAGCGCCTGGATGTGGCTGCAGTGGAGGACCAATCAGAGCCTGAATGTGGCTGCAGTGGAGGACCAATCAGAGCCTGAATGTGGCTGCAGTGGAGGACCAATCAGAGCCTGAATTTGGCTGCAGTAGAGGATCAATCAGAGCCTGAATGTGGCTGCAGTGGAGGACCAATCAGAGCCTGAATGTGGCTGCAGTAGAGGATCAATCAGAGCCTGAATGTGGCTGCAGTGGAGGACCAATCAGAGCCTGAATGTGGCTGCAGTAGAGGACCAATCAGAGCCTGAATGTGGCTGCAGTAGAGGATCAATCAGAGCCTGAATGTGGCTGCAGTAGAGGATCAATCAGAGCCTGGATGTGGCTGCAGTGGAGGACCAATCAGAGCCTGAATGTGGCTGCAGTAGAGGATCAATCAGAGCCTGAATGTGGCTGCAGTGGAGGACCAATCAGAGCCTGAATGTGGCTGCAGTAGAGGATCAATCAGAGCCTGAATGTGGCTGCAGTAGAGGATCAATCAGAGCCTGAATGTGGCTGCAGTGGAGGACCAATCAGAGCCTGAATGTGGCTGCAGTAGAGGATCAATCAGAGCCTGAATGTGGCTGCAGTAGAGGATCAATCAGAGCCTGAATGTGGCTGCAGTAGAGGACCAATCAGAGCCTGAATGTGGCTGCAGTAGAGGACCAATCAGAGCCTGAATGTGGCTGCAGTAGAGGACCAATCAGAGCCTGAATATTTATACTCACAACAAGGACTTTGAGGACCAGATGATTCTGATATGAAGACTCCAGTCGGTGGTTCTCTAAACACATAAAGACAGAAACATTCAGATGAAGTAAATCCTGTTTATGGTACAAATGAACAGCAAGCAGGTTTACCTCTGAATAAATATCTACTAAAAAAGATTCAGTGAAAGAATCTGCCTTTAGAATACAATCACACTAAGAAAAGCCAAGCAGTAAGGATAGCTAACCAGTGAGGATAGCTAACCAGTGAGGATAGCTAGCCAGTGAGGATAGCTAACCAGTGAGCATAGCTAGCCAGTGAGGATAGCTAACCAGTGAGCATAGCTAACCAGTGAGGATAGTTAGCCAGTGAGGATAGCTAACCAGTGAGGATAGCTAGCCAGTGAGGATAGCTAACCAGTGAGGATAGCTAACCAGTGAGGATAGCTAGCCAGTGAGGATAGCTAACCAGTGAGGATAGCTAACCAGTGAGGATAGCTAGCCAGTGAGGATAGCTAACCAGTGAGGATAGCTAGCTAGTGAGGATAGCTAACCAGGGAGGATAGCTAGCTAGTGAGGATAGCTAACCAGGGAGGATAGCTAACCAGGGAGGATAGCTAACCAGTGAGGATAGCTAACCAGTTAGGATTGCAAGCCAGTGAGGATAGCTAACCAGTGAGGATAGCTAACCAGGGAGGATAGCTAACCAGGGAGGATAGCTAACCAGTGAAGATAGCTAACCAGTGAGGATAGCTAGCCAGGAAGGATAGCTAACCATTGAAGATAGCTAACCAGGGAGGATAGCTAACCAGGGAGGATAGCTAAACAGGGAGGATAGCTAAACAGGGAGGATAGCTAGCCAGTGAGGATAGCTAACCAGTGAGGATAGCTAGCGAGGGAGGATAGCTAGCCAGTGACGATAGCTAGCAAGGGAGGATAGCTAACCAGGGAGGATAGCTAACCAGGGAGGATAGCTAGCTAGTGAGGATAGCGAACCAGGGAGGAAAGCGAACCAGGGAGGATAGCTAACCAGTACAGATAGCTAACCAGGGAGGATAGCTAAACAGGGAGGATAGCTAGCCAGTGAAGATAGCGAACCAGGGAGGATAGCTAGCCAGCAATTGTCACTAGCCAGTGAGGATAGCTAACCAGAAAGGATAGCTAGTCAGTGAGGATAGCTAACCAGTGAGGATAGCTAGCCAGTGAGGATAGCTAGCCAGTGAGGATAGCAAACCAGGGAGGATAGCTAACCAGGGAGGATAGCTAACCAGTGAGGATAGCTAGCCAGTGAGGATAGCTAGCCAGTGAGGATAGCTAACCAGTGAGGATAGCTAGCCAGGGAGGATAGCTAATCAGGGAGGATAGCTAAACAGGAAGGATAGCTAACCAGTGAGGATAACTAGCCAGTGAGGATAGCTAACCAGTGAGGATAGCTAACCAGTGAGGATAGCTAGCGAGGGAGGATAGCTAGCCAGTGACGATAGCTAGCAAGGGAGGATAGCTAACCAGGGAGGATAGCTAACCAGTGAGGATAGCTAGCCAGGGAGGATAGCTAACCAGGGAGGATAGCTAACCAGGGAGGATAGCTAGCTAGTGAGGATAGCGAACCAGGGAGGAAAGCGAACCAGGGAGGATAGCTAACCAGTACAGATAGTTAACCAGGGAGGAGAGCTAAACAGGGAGGATAGCTAGCCAGTGAAGATAGCGAACCAGGGAGGATAGCTAACCAGCAATTGTCACTAGCCAGTGAGGATAGCTAACCAGAAAGGATAGCTAGTCAGTGAGGATAGCTAACCAGTGAGGATAGCTAGCCAGTGAGGATAGCTAGCCAGTGAGGATAGCAAACCAGGGAGGATAGCTAACCAGGGAGGATAGCTAACCAGTGAGGATAGCTAGCCAGTGAGGATAACTAGTCAGTGAGGATAGCTAACCAGTGAGGATAGCTAGCCAGGGAGGATAGCTAATCAGGGAGGATAGCTAGCCAGTGAGGATAGCTAGCCAGGGATGATAGCTAACCAGGGAAGATAGCTAACCAGGGAGAATAGCTAACCAGTGAGGATAGCTAACCAGTGAGAATAGCTAACCAGTGAGGATAGCTAGCCAGGGAGGATAGCTAGCCAGGGATGATAGCTAACCAGGGAGGATAGCTAACCAGGGAGAATAGCTAACCAGTGAGGATAGCTAACCAGTGAGGATAGCTAACCAGTGAGAATAGCTAACCAGTGAGAATAGCTAACCAGTGAGGATAGCTAGCCAGGGAGGATAGCTAACCAGGGAGGATAGCTAACCAGGGAGGATAGCTAACCAGTGAGGATAGTTAACCTGGAAGGATAGCTAACCAGTGAGGACAGCTAACCAGTGAGGATAGCGAACCAGGGAGGATAGCTAACCAGGGAGGATAGCTAGCCAGTGAGGATAGCAAACCAGGGAGGATAGCTAACCACTGAGGATACCTAACCAGTGAGGATAGCTAGCCAGGAAGTATAGCTAACCATTGAAGATAGCTAACCAGGGAGGATAGCTAACCAGGGAGGATAGCTAAACAGGAAGGATAGCTAACCAGTGAGGATAACTAGCCAGTGAGGATAGCTAACCAGTGAGGATAGCTAACCAGTGAGGATAGCTAGCGAGGGAGGATAGCTAGCCAGTGACGATAGCTAGCAAGGGAGGATAGCTAACCAGGGAGGATAGCTAACCAGTGAGGATAGCTAGCCAGGGAGGATAGCTAACCAGGGAGGATAGCTAACCAGGGAGGATAGCTAGCTAGTGAGGATAGCGAACCAGGGAGGAAAGCGAACCAGGGAGGATAGCTAACCAGTACAGATAGCTAACCAGGGAGGAGAGCTAAACAGGGAGGATAGCTAGCCAGTGAAGATAGCGAACCAGGGAGGATAGCTAGCCAGCAATTGTCACTAGCCAGTGAGGATAGCTAACCAGAAAGGATAGCTAGTCAGTGAGGATAGCTAACCAGTGAGGATAGCTAGCCAGTGAGGATAGCTAGCCAGTGAGGATAGCAAACCAGGGAGGATAGCTAACCAGGGAGGATAGCTAACCAGTGAGGATAGCTAGCCAGTGAGGATAGCTAGTCAGTGAGGATAGCTAACCAGGGAGGATAGCTAACCAGTGAGGATAGCTAGCCAGTGAGGATAACTAGTCAGTGAGGATAGCTAACCAGTGAGGATAGCTAGCCAGGGAGGATAGCTAATCAGGGAGGATAGCTAGCCAGTGAGGATAGCTAGCCAGGGATGATAGCTAACCAGGGAGGATAGCTAACCAGGGAGAATAGCTAACCAGTGAGGATAGCTAACCAGTGAGAATAGCTAACCAGTGAGGATAGCTAGCCAGGGAGGATAGCTAGCCAGGGATGATAGCTAACCAGGGAGGATAGCTAACCAGGGAGAATAGCTAACCAGTGAGGATAGCTAACCAGTGAGGATAGCTAACCAGTGAGAATAGCTAACCAGTGAGAATAGCTAACCAGTGAGGATAGCTAGCCAGGGAGGATAGCTAACCAGGGAGGATAGCTAACCAGGGAGGATAGCTAACCAGTGAGGATAGTTAACCTGGAAGGATAGCTAACCAGTGAGGACAGCTAACCAGTGAGGATAGCGAACCAGGGAGGATAGCTAACCAGGGAGGATAGCTAGCCAGTGAGGATAGCAAACCAGGGAGGATAGCTAACCACTGAGGATACCTAACCAGTGAGGATAGCTAGCCAGGAAGTATAGCTAACCATTGAAGATAGCTAACCAGGGAGGATAGCTAACCAGGGAGGATAGCTAAACAGGAAGGATAGCTAACCAGTGAGGATAACTAGCCAGTGAGGATAGCTAACCAGTGAGGATAGCTAACCAGTGAGGATAGCTAGCGAGGGAGGATAGCTAGCCAGTGACGATAGCTAGCAAGGGAGGATAGCTAACCAGGGAGGATAGCTAACCAGTGAGGATAGCTAGCCAGGGAGGATAGCTAACCAGGGAGGATAGCTAACCAGGGAGGATAGCTAGCTAGTGAGGATAGCGAACCAGGGAGGAAAGCGAACCAGGGAGGATAGCTAACCAGTACAGATAGCTAACCAGGGAGGAGAGCTAAACAGGGAGGATAGCTAGCCAGTGAAGATAGCGAACCAGGGAGGATAGCTAGCCAGCAATTGTCACTAGCCAGTGAGGATAGCTAACCAGAAAGGATAGCTAGTCAGTGAGGATAGCTAACCAGTGAGGATAGCTAGCCAGTGAGGATAGCTAGCCAGTGAGGATAGCAAACCAGGGAGGATAGCTAACCAGGGAGGATAGCTAACCAGTGAGGATAGCTAGCCAGTGAGGATAGCTAGTCAGTGAGGATAGCTAACCAGTGAGGATAGCTAGCCAGGGAGGATAGCTAATCAGGGAGGATAGCTAGCCAGTGAGGATAGCTAGCCAGGGAGGATAGCTAACCAGGGAGGATAGCTAACCAGGGAGAATAGCTAACCAGTGAGGATAGCTAACCAGTGAGAATAGCTAACCAGTGAGGATAGCTAGCCAGGGAGAATAGCTAACCAGGGAGGATAGCTAACCAGGGAGGATAGCTAACCAGTGAGGATAGTTAACCTGGAAGGATAGCTAACCAGTGAGGACAGCTAACCAGTGAGGATAGCGAACCAGGGAGGATAGCTAACCAGGGAGGATAGCTAGCCAGTGATGATAGCAAACCAGGGAGGATAGCTAACCAGTGAGGATACCTAACCAGTGAGGATAGCTAAACAGGGAGGATAGCTAACCAGTGAGGATAGCTAGCCAGTGAGGATAGCTAACCAGTGAGGACAGCTAACCAGTGAGGATAGCTAACCTGGGAGGATAGCTAACCAGTGAGGATAGCTAGCTAGCGAGGATACCTAACCAGTGAGGATAGCTAACCAGTGAGGATAGCTAGCTAGCGAGGATAGCTAGCCAGTGAGGATAGCTAACCAGTGAGGATAGTTAACCTGGAATGATAGCTAACCGGTGAGGACAGCTAACCAGTGAGGATAGCTAGCTAGCGAGGAGACCTAACCAGTGAGGATAGCTAACCAGTGAGGACAGCTAGCCAGTGAGCACAGCTAGCCAGTGAGGATAGCGAACCAGTGAGGATAGCTAGCCAGTGAGGACAGTTAACCAGTGAGTACAGGTAGCCAGTGAAGATAGCTAACCAGTGAGCATAGCTAACCAGTGAAGATAGCTAACCAGTGAGGACAGCTAGCCAGTGAGGATAGCTAACCAGTGAGGATAGCTAGCCAGTGAGGACAGCTAACCAGTGAGGATAGCTAACCAGTGAGGATAGGGAACCAGGGATGATAGCGAACCAGGCAGGATAGCGAACCAGGGAGGATAGCGAACCAGGCAGGATAGCGAACCAGGGAGGATAGCTAACCAGTGAGGATAGTTAACCTGGAAGGATAGCTAACCAGTGAGGACAGCTAACCAGTGAGGATAGCTAACCTGGGAGGATAGCTAACCATTGAGGATAGCTAACCAGTGAGGACAGCTAGCCAGTGAGCACAGCTAGCCAGTGAGGATAGCTAACCAGTGAGGATAGCAAACCAGTGAGGATAGCTAGCCAGTGAGGATAGCTAGCCAGTGAGGACAGCTAACCAGTGAGGACAGGTAGCCAGTGAAGATAGCTAACCAGTGAGGATAGCTCACTAGTGAGGATAGCTAACCAGTGAGGATAGCTAGCCAGTGAGGACAGCTAACCAGTGAGGATAGCTAGCCAGTGAGGACAGCTAACCAGTTAGGATAGCTAACCAGTGAGGATAGCTAGCCAGTGAGGATAGCGAACCAGTGAGGATAGCTAGCCAGTGAGGACAGCTAACCAGTGAGGATAGCTAGCCAGGGATGATAGCTAACCAGGGAGGATAGCTAACCAGGGAGGATAGCTAGCCAGTGAGGATAGCTAACCAGTGAGGATAGTTAACCTGGAAGGATAGCTAACCAGTGAGGACAGCTAACCAGTGAGGATAGCTAACCTGGGAGGATAGCTAACCAGTGAGGATAGGTAGCTAGCGAGGATACCTAACCAGTGAGGATAGCTAGCCAGTGAGCACAGCTAGCCAGTGAGGATAGCGAACCAGTGAGGATAGCTAGCCAGTGAGGACAGTTAACCAGTGAGTACAGGTAGCCAGTGAAGATAGCTAACCAGTGAGGATAGCTAACCAGTGAGGAAAGCTAGCCAGTGAGGACAGCTAACCAGTGAGGATAGCTAACCAGTGAGGATAGCTAGCCAGTGAGGATAGCTAGCCAGTGAGGATAGCGAACCAGTGAGGATAGCTAGCCAGTGAGGACAGCTAACCAGTGAGGATAGCTAGCCAGTGAGGATAGCTAGCCAGTGAGCATAGCTAACCAGTGAGGATAGCTAACCAGTGAGGACAGCTAGCCAGTGAGCATAGCTAACCAGTGAGGATAGCTAACCAGTGAGGACAGCTAGCCAGTGAGGATAGCTAACCAGTGAGGATAGCTAACCAGTGAGGACAGCTAACCAGTGAGGATAGCTAACCAGTGAGGATAGGGAACCAGGGAGGATAGCGAACCAGGCAGGATAGCGAACCAGGGAGGATAGCGAACCAGGCAGGATAGCGAACCAGGGAGGATAGCTAACCAGTGAGGATAGTTAACCTGGAAGGATAGCTAACCAGTGAGGATAGCTAAGCAGTGAGGATAGCTAACCTGGGAGGATAGCTAACCAGTGAGGATAGCTAACCAGTGAGGACAGCTAGCCAGTGAGCACAGCTACCCAGTGAGGATAGCTAACCAGTGAGGATAGCGAACCAGTGAGGATAGCTAGCCAGTGAGGACAGCTAACCAGTGAGGACAGGTAGCCAGTGAAGATAGCTAACCAGTGAGGATAGCTAACTAGTGAGGATAGCTAACCAGTGAGGATAGCTAGCCAGTGAGGACAGCTAACCAGTTAGGATAGCTAACCAGTGAGGATAGCTAGCCAGTGAAGATAGCGAACCAGTGAGGATAGCTAGCCAGTGAGGACAGCTAACCAGTGAGGATAGCTAGCCAGTGAGGATAGCTAGCCAGTGAGCATAGCTAACCAGTGAGGATAGCTAGCCAGTGAGGACAGCTAGCCAGTGAGGATAGCTAACCAGTGAGGATAGCTAGCCAGTGAGGACAGCTAACCAGTGAGGATAGCTAACCAGTGAGGATAGCTAGCCAGTGAGCACATCTAGCCAGTGAGGATAGCTAACCAGGGAGGATAGCTAACCAGTGAGGATAGCTAGCCATTGAGGACAGCTAGCCAGTGAGGATAGCTAGCCAGGGAGGATAGCTAGCCAGTGAGGACAGCTAACCAGTGAGGATAGCTAGCCAGGGAGGATAGCTAACCAGTGAGGATAGCTAACCAGTGAGGACAGCTAGCCAGGGAGGATAGCTAACCAGTGAGGATAGCTAACCAGTGAGCATAGCTAACCAGTGAGGATAGCTAGCCAGTGAGGACAGCTAGCCAGTGAGGATAGCTAACCAGTGAGGATAGCTAGCCAGTGAGGACAGCTAACCAGTGAGGATAGCTAACCAGTGAGGATAGCTAGCCAGTGAGCACATCTAGCCAGTGAGGATAGCTAACCAGGGAGGATAGCTAACCAGTGAGGATAGCTAGCCATTGAGGACAGCTAGCCAGTGAGGATAGCTAGCCAGGGAGTATAGCTAGCCAGTGAGGACAGCTAACTAGTGAGGATAGCTAGCCAGGGAGGATAGCTAACCAGTGAGGATAGCTAACTAATCAGAATAGCACTTTTAGCAGAGGTTAGACTACGTGGATCATCAGGGACATCTGAGCGTCTTACCCCATTCTGTGAGGAACTCTGCAGCGTATCTGTAGACCAGGTTCATGGCTTCTATCACCACAGCGTAGATGATGCTGGGGATGAAAAGAAGCACTGCCGTCCAGAACGAAGGCTCCTGGTCGTGGATGGACAGCACCCAGGCCTCCATCTGGAAGTAGATCATCATGACGTACAGAGACAGGTAGAGACAAAGCAGGACAAAGGGCAGGGACACCAGGTAGATGCGCAGCTGTCGCTTGGCATTGGGATACAGCGGCTCCTCCCGTCCTGTCACAGGGTTGAAACCGAGGACACCGTGGAAACCGGGTCGAGGTTCTTCAAAGGCCTTCTTCCTGCTCAGCGTGCCCCAGCGGTAGGCGAGCGAAGCGCTGCATCTCTTCCATAGCTGAGGGAAGGAAGGTCCAAAAAGCTGTTACTCTGCAGAAATCCTTTGATCAACCTTTCAGCATCCTTTACAGTTTTGGTCCTCACCCCCCCCTAAACCCAGCGGACCTGGCACAGGGACCAGGAGGACCGCCTGCCTCCACTGAGCAGCTGCTCTCTGCTGCTCAGAAACAGGAAACACACAATGCCACTTCAGACATGAAGCCGTATTGGACCATGATGCATTGTGGGCCGAGCTGACATTGGTGTTGGATGGAGGGGTGTGGGGGGGGTTAGCCCTAGCACAGGCTGGCTGGTTATACTGATGATGATGGTTTACTATCACTATAATTTAGGATAGCAACAAGCACCATGTCAAGCTAGTCTTCTACATCTGCTGAAACTACATCAGATTCTTGTCTCAAAGCTGGGGGGGGTCACGTCCATCTGACTGGGAGGTAAATTCAGTCCCTGAATCGCAGCCTTTAATGCAGCACAGCCTGTTCAAGGCAAAGGAGAGATCCACGCATGGTTTCCCTCTGTTTCCTTGTTGGGGCGTACACATGATTTCCAGGCCATCTGAGCACACTTCCTTATTTCCTGCATGGTAAGGGTTTTTGGTACATGATGACCTCATACCAAACACTCTAATGAGGATTGTGCAGGAAAGTGATTTAATGGTGTGCAGGAGCATCGTGAAGTGATACAGCTGACAGCTGACAGCAGTATTGTTTTGGTGAACTGCCAGGAAGCCCCTCCCCTCTGCTGCTAGTTTCTGCCTGCTGGAGATGGGAACCAGCTGGACTCAATCTCATGCAATCAAAGAGTGTACTTTTGGTGTGGCTGACCTCTCACTCTTGTTTGAGGAAGTATCGAAGCATGCAAGCCAAACAGTGATGGTAGAACATGCAAAGTGCAAACTGTGCAAAAGGTTTCTTAAAAGAACTGAAGGACAGCCGGTAAGCTGATTTCAGTGGCTTATTCACACGGACTGACTCTGATTATCTGGTCTATTGTTTATTATTATTAAAATAAAAAAATATATATAAAAAAGATAAACTTGGTGTTTATTAGTTAAAGCAGAAAAATGTTGATAAAAATACTAATTTATTAATTGCTTTTTAATTTCACTATAAAATACTTAATGTTTATTATTCTTTAGGATTAAATGATTTAAATAAGTGGATATTGATTTTTTTTTCTTTTCATGTTGATCTCTTAATGTAATTAGATGCTTCTGTCTCTTTTGAGGGTTTTCACCTGTTTGATTGGAGGAAAATTATAACCATCAAAATAAAGATGACTTAATGAAGACTCTGTTAGAGTGATAACTATCCTGTGTTTCAACCAGAAGGGTCATAAACTTGTATGACCTCCTGTAGGTCATGAGGCAGAATCACACGGCTGTGTGACTTCCATCCAGCCAGTTGGTCAATTCACACTATCTTGTTACCTGCATCCTCCCAGACAATGATTACTGGCTCTTCTGTTTTAGGCCCGCCTGTTTGATGTTGTAAACTGTTAATAAAAGGCTTTGCCATGAAGGGATCTGTGTGAGAAGGTGCTGGTTTTTTCCGAGCCAGCATCTTCTCTCCACCCGGCACACACTGACTTCACAAAACCCTGTCTCTGTGTTGATCATTTTCCTTTTAATCTTTTAAACTCACATTTCTCTGGATTAAAACCCAACATTTTTGGTGCCGAAACCCGGGAGTCAAGATCCAATTGTCCAGGACCGTGCGGGACCAAGGCCAAGAAACTGACGACAGCCGTCCACCCTTTGCCGGACAGAGCCAATAGGTTGGTCCAGCCCTGCCCTGGACATCCTGGTGATGACTCAAGCTGAGGACTGATCTGCACAGAAACGGTACGCCTAAAGTTTTTTTTATCAACAGTTGGTCTGGGACCACGTGAAAGCTATAACTAGTTGTAGTCGCTAGAATATTTGACAAACAGGGTTTGCTGTGAGAGATCTGGGATCGGTATTCTGTGCGTTTGGGTCTGGGACCCTCTGTGTGAAAGCTATAACTAGTTGTAGTCGCTAGAATATTTGACAAACAGGGTTTGCTGTGAGAGATCTGGGATCGGTATTCTGTGCGTTTGGGTCTGGGACCCTCTGTGTGAAAGCTATAACTAGTTGTAGTCGCTAGAATATTTGACAAACAGGGTTTGCTGTGAGAGATCTGGGATCGGTATTCTGTGCGTTTGGGTCTGGGACCCTCTGTGTGAAAGCTATAACTAGTTGTAGTCGCTAGAATATTTGACAAACAGGGTTTGCTGTGAGAGATCTGGGATCGGTATTCTGTGCGTTTGGGTCTAGGACCCTCTGTGTTCCTTTAAGATAAGAACACAGCTAAGTAAGGTTTGCAGCTGCCGCAGCAGTGCGAAGGCCTGGAGTTGGAGACTCCAAAGTGTACACGTGTTCAAGCTATAACTGGTTGTAGTCGCAAGAATATTTGACAAACAGGGTTTTGTTGTGAGAGATCTGGGATCGGTATTCTGTGCGTTTGGGTCTGGGACCCTCTATGTTCTTTTAAGATAAGAACTCAGCTAAGTAAGGTTTGCAGCTACCGCAGCAGGGATAGCAGATACGGCATCTGGGTATCCGGTGCGTGCGAGGGCCTGGAGTTGGACACTCCAAAGTGTACACGATAAACGTTTTTTTTGTTTTTTTTTGTTTTTTTTTGTCTATGTTGGTTAAAAAATAAAAAATATTAGGCCTTAGATAGGTGTGTGTGAAAGTGTGTGAGGAAACAATCGAACCGTTGGGTTCTGTTGTTTCATACTAAAACAGCAGGAATTAATACAGTATAACTCTTGTGGATGCAGAGGCAAGAATTTCTCACCTGAAAAGGTAGAAACAGAAATTACCACAACAGTGTTTGGGTGTTGTCCTGCTGAAATAAACATCCAGTGCGTAGAATACCCTAGGTGTTTGTACTGGACTAAATTCTTTAAAAATGGGACAAGGCAGTAGTAAGAAGGAAATGCCAGGTGATGTTAGATGGATGGTGGCGTGTTGTGGTGGTGACCCAGAGTTAGCCAGAAAGTGGATTGAGAAGGAGGGCTGGGATGGAAAGTTGAGAGTTGAGCCGCTGAAGATTCAGCAGAAGGTGGAGATGAAGTTGGTGTATAAATCAAAAAGAAAACAAGCTAAATACAGAAAAGAATTAGAAGAGTTAAATAAGTGGATTATGCAAGCAAAAAATAGGGAAAGCCAAATACAGCAGAAGAAGGATAGAAAGACAGCTACAATTGCTGCTGTAAAAGTTAAAGCTGATGAAGAAACTGTTGTATCCCGTATGCTTCCTCAATATCCTGACCCTAATCAAATTAAAGGGGGTGATGGGGTTCAAGCAGTGGCATCAGCTGCGCAGGAAGGTGGAGATAAACCCCATCACAGTAAATATGAACACAGCCATGCCACTGTTCCTCCTCCAGTGGCCCCACCATCGTGTGGTGATATTGGAGGAGCAGGAGCAGGCCCCCTGTCCGTGTCGTCGTCTGTGGATGGTATGGAACTCAGTGCCCCTGACCCTTGTGAGCATGAGTTGGGAGGATCAGGGGGGGATGTGAAGCTTGATTCGAAGTGTTACAGGGATGATTATCAAGTGGAGGCTTGCGGAAGGGGCCCATCTGCCCCTATTTATTCAAGATTGGCTGAATTAAAAAAACAAGAACAGGACCAAGATCCTGGGGGGGGGGCATGTGCTTTTCCGGTGTTGGAGGTGGCCAACCCTCATTGTGGTCAACGCACGGGACCCCAAGATGGTGACCCACTGGATTGTGGACCTACTGTTCTTGTGTGTGGGCCATGGACAGATGCAGAGATGCGGACCGCCTGTCAAGGTTTACCTCCAGCCAGACAGAACCCAGTTAAATGGTTCGAGGATGTTAAAAATAGATTGAGAAAATTCATGGCAGAAACAGGAAAGCCATGGGCAGAAAAAGAACAAGATGACATTGACCCGCTAACTAAGTGGATGCTGAAGCTTTTCAGTGACAAAACTGTTCGGAAAACATGTAATCTGCCTAGTGCTCCTTTTGTTTCCCCACAGGAAGGCCTGAAGCCTGGAGACCGAGTGCTGATTAAAATCATCAAAAGGAAAACTTGGAAAGCTCCGAGGTGGGAAGGACCCTACATAGAGCAACTAACAACCCCCACCACTGTGAAGATCCAGGAGAGAAACACTTGGATCCACCAGAGTCATTGTAAACTGATTAAAAAATTTCCTCAGCAAAGAAGCCCAGTTACTTTCACAGGGACCCCACGACTAAGGTATAGATCTGTGGTGAAGTCCAGCTTCAAAGGGGTTTGGTTTTTTTAGGACCAATCGTCTCAACGCTGGTGAAGTAACCAACCTAACCCAGTCTTTTAGAGTCCGGTTAGTGGGTGTTTCCTTGGACGGACTGGCAAAGATCTGAAAAACCAAAGTGGTTTTGCTGCCCGGTGATGACTGTTGGACCGGTGTTCCTAGGAACTCAAACTGACTGTCTGAAACAAAGGAAGAGCAGGATGATTTTTGATGGATCCACAGAAAATCATCCATACGGTGCCAATATGTGGTGGCAACATGCAAAACATGTTGCTGAAGATTTGAACAAAACAGACTGTTATGTTTATACTCATATTCCTACTTCTATGAATACAATATGAATTGAAGGATGCTGATGTTTTTATGTATAAGAGGAGGGAAATGTTAGAGTGATAACTATCCAGTATTTCAACCAGAAGGGTCATAAACTTTTATGACCTCCTGTAGGTCATGAGGCAGAATCACACGGCTGTGTGACTTCCATCCAGCCAGTTGGTCAATTCACACTATCTTGTTACCTGCATCCTCCCAGACAATGATTACTGGCTCTTCTGTTTTAGGCCCGCCTGTTTGATGTTGTAAACTGTTAATAAAAGGCTTTGCCATGAAGGGATCTGTGTGAGAAGGTGCTGGTTTTTTCCGAGCCAGCATCTTCTCTCCACCCGGCACACACTGACGTCACAAAACCCTGTCTCTGTGTTGATCATTTTCTTTTTAATCTTTTAAACTCACATTTCTCTGGATTAAAACCCAACAGACTCCTTGAGTGAACGCCAGTTATGTTTCACAGAAGAGACGTCCCTTTCTAGCGGGGATTGCACATTTAAAAATCCAATCTAAACAGAGAACCTGACAGTATTCTTTTGTTGCCTCATTCCTTTTCTGCTGGAAGGCAAAAGAAACAGGAGACGGGTCAGATAACAGCAAATATTCCTGCCTTACAGCCTGGCAAAGAGAAGAACAGTGATCTCTGAAATAGGGAGGAAGGGCCTCCATGAAAACTGAACGCTTCTCCAAGTGGTCCAATATCTGCCGAGCTGAGGAGATCTAGGAGATTAGGCTCTACCTCCCTGAGGTAAACACCAGTGGTGACTCTGGGATGAAAATAATCAATACGGCGTGTCAGTGATCCCCGTCTCGGGGATTGGTGCCGGCCAATCAGAATCATGGTTGTAGAACCGCTGCTCTGACCTCCTTGAAGGCACTGGAAACCATTCATGGAGCATTGGTGGAAGCAGGGCCCCATGGACGCCCCGTGGACGCCCCGTGGACGCCCCATGGACGTGCTGCGGGGTTCACATGTGTCCCATGGGAAGCCGTCCTGTTGCCTTGAGGCTAACATCACAGCAAACTCTGCTCTGGCTCAGGTTGGGAACCTCTGCTGCCCAAAGCTCGTCAGGCCGGTTATTTAAACTGTTCCAATCCTGCGCTGTGCAGCGGAACAAAAGACTTACGCCAGAAAAAAAGGAGGCGATTAATCATAAAATTTGTGGATTGAAACATTTCATAGAGCTAGATTTAAATTAGAAGCAATGACATTTGAAAGCCAGATGTGGATAACTTGCTGTTTAGGACGTGCTGCAGTCACAGGGACTCAGTTTTCATACCTCCAGGATGATGGTGCACCAGATGACGTTGAAACCAGCAAAGACTACATATTTGTCATAATCCTCCCAGTCAAACAGGTAGTAAGGCACTCCAAACAGAGCCATAGGAACCAGGGCAAAGGTGAAGTACTCCAGGAAGCCAAAGTAGAGCGCCTGGCCCTCGCCGTAGTACCGTCTGATGTCATCTGGAGAGGAAATGGAGACAGGAGCAGGTGTGAAAACTGGACAGGAAAAGCATCCTTCACTGAGTGAAGACTTTACCATCAACATGTTCCTACATACTTTAAATGATACACCAATCCATATAGGAGAGGTGTAAACCAGCCGGTGCTCCTCTGACTGGTTTTACAAGTGATGCACTAGTTGTTTGAATCAGCTGCAACAGGTCTTACAGACTTGCGTCAGTCAGTGATTACACCCATAAACATGTCCTGGAGCACGCAGCTGGAGGAATGAGGCAGCAGCATTGCTAGGAGGGCATTCCACTCGTCTCTTTACAGTTCAACCAACAGAGGCTGATTCTCCAGCTTAGACCAGAAGGGAGACCTGTCCAGAAAGTCTCCTAGTCAACGATTCGATGCAATCTGCTACTAATCAACATCTCTGTCCAATTTGTTGCCACTCGATTGTTCGTTTCAATCCTAGTCAACAACTTGGTCCAATCTGGTCTTAGTCAAACACACAATGAAATGAGCTCCTAGTAAATTACTTGATCTGATCTACTCCCAGTCAACAAAACGATGCAACCGTGTCCTATTCAACAATTCTGTCTGATCCACTCCTAGTCAAAGACTCTCTGATATTGTGATATATTTACATTTGTGTCGGACCTGCTTCTAGTCAACATCTTGATGCAATCTGCTCCCAATAAATGATTTCATCCGATCTGCTCTTAGTCAGCGACTAGTCCCATTCTGCTCCTAGTCACTGACTAAACACAATCTGCTCCTAGTCAAGAGCCAGATGACATCTGCAATGACTCAATGTGATCTGCTCCTATTTAATGACTCAGTCAGATATACTCCTTGTAAATAAAATCTGCTCCAAGTCAAAGACTTGGTCAGATCTGCTGGTTTTCCTTAAGGAGAAACATTTTCACCTATTTGAATAATGAACTGACCTTCATCATTTTTGTACATTATATGGATTTTTACTTGCATTACTTTAGAAGTAAATCAGAGCAACATAAATGAACCCTATTATATTGAAGGGAATAGAACATCGGCTTCACTTACCGAGAGGCTGAAGCGACAGCTTGACTTTTTTATACCAGGAAAAGGAGAGTCTCTTGAGCTCCTCTGGCTGGTGGAGTGGAAACATCTGGATCAGGATCCCTTTGGACAGCAATCTGCGGACTAAGATGTCAAATAACAATGGCAGTGGGTTAGAAGATACTTTGACAGAGTAAAGTGGTCAAAGTGTTTGGCTGGTTTTCATCTCCGGGTCGCTATCTGACCGGAGGGTGACCCCAAAGGACATCCAGCCCCCTTAGTCTTAGTTTTTTTTCTGTTTTGTCCCCTCCTGGTTGGACGGGATGGGTGTGTAACGTCTGTGATGCGCTATGGTAGGCACGGCGCCGTCTGGCCTCCGGTGGGAAGAGCTGTCAGGATGTGCAGCCTGGAACAGGGACTTCAGCCCCCTCCACGGTCAGGTCAACCAGGCTATATATTGTGATGATGTCAATAATAATAACAACTCCTCCAACGCCCCCCCGCCCCTCTTAGTTTTGAAGAAAAACTAAAAGCATTTACTCTCATCACCATTGCAGCAAATAAAGATGACTGGGTAAATAGAATGGGACAAATAGATAAAACCATGACATCATGATAAATACTCTACATCAGAGTTAACAGAACAAAGGCAGCAACAAGAGCAATTAGCATTAAATGCATTCTAAATGCTAATTAGCATTAGCGTTAGTCATAATGACAGATTTATTTTTGTATCTGATTGTTCAATTACAGCTCAGCGGGAAGGAATGAATGTTTACGGCTTATCCCTCTTGGTCTCGTTAAAGCGGGTCGAGCGGTTTCATGAGGTCACAGAATGTCTTATCATTAGAGATGTATAAACAGGTTGGTCCAGTAATGAAGCTGATATTCTTGCCGATAGGGAAATAGGGCGCAGATTTTAATGTTTAGGTGGAAGGTTAGGCTCCACTTAACTTTGGCTCTTCAGCCACTTTCTGTCTGAGTGGATTGTTACATTTGAAATTCATCCCTCTGGTGTGTTTGGCGAAAATCCTGACATACAGAATGAATTCAATTTCAATTCAGTTTATTTCTATAGCTCCAATTCACATCAGGTCATCTCAGGTCAGTTTCCAATTCACCAGATCATCCAGTCAGGTTGATTCAAAGTTTTCTATCTAAGGAAAATTACAATGTTTTATATTTTTCTACAACATGGAGGAGAAAAGAGGTTTCAGTTTCCAGGCATTTATAATTCATTCCAGGTCGTTCCAAAGAAATAACATCAGCCTCATGATTCAAAAGACCAATCACAGAGGCCATGTACAACAAAAGGCTCCATCAATCCAGGAGAACAAGGGCTGCTGGATGTGGATCAGCCTGGCAAAATGCTTAGGAGGACGGACCTCCATGCTGCTGCTCTGGTGAAGCCAGCAGAAAGACATGTCTTCAGAAAACCGAGCCAGATTTCTAGGCGTTACTGGCCGTAGAGCGCCTGCTTCCAAGCCCATCTGGCCCATCATCAAGGATCAGAACAATTCTACACACTTCTAGATCTACGTGGGTGGACAGTTAATTGATAGTCTCACCATAACACCTACAGAGGCCCAGAGCCGCTCATCTGGGCTGCAGGGAGCGGTCCATGCGCTCTACTTGAAGGAAGCTGGGTCACAGCAGCTGTGAGAGGAACGGCTCTGGGCCCACACCGACCCACAAACACCACCAGGAGCATTTATGACGGATCCGATTGGACCTGACCATCCCACAGATGGAAACGGCAGCTTAGATCTAAATGGTCCTAATCGTCCACCACAGAGAGGACAGCTGGATGGTCATCAGGTGTCCACAGCTCTTCCCTGGAGGACTGATTAGCACCGGCAACACTCAACTGACTTTATTAAGGCAGGAGGTGGAGCTCAAAATGAAATCTAAAGGTTTAAGATTCCTCATCTGGTGAATTGAACCTTATTAGGAAACCAATTCAGATATGCAGAGAGACATAAAGGTCTTCTGAAGGGTCAGCCTCCTATCAGTGCTAGAAGCGCAGCGTGGGTCTGGTGTTTACGTGACAAGCTGAGGAAACGAAGACCTGGTGGACACTCACTGATGGATTTCCCCGGGTAAAGCTTGGCGTGGCTGTATCCTGGGACGTGCGTCTCGTCTTTGGCCCGCAGCGTGTCCAGCTCATGTTTGATGATGTGCTGACACTCAGCCATGCTCAGAAAGCCGTCTCCGTCCCCTGGAGACAAAGACATCAGTGAGAAACAGAGAAGTTCCCCAGCATTGATGGAGGTCCTCTACATGTCCCTCAGGACACAAACTAAACACCCGTCATTCATTCATTCATCCATTCATTCATCCATTCATTCATTCACCAGCTCTGCTTCCAAGCGCATAATTTTAGGATCCCGCTGACGTGATGATGCAGGAAATCAGACTAAAGATGCGTCACAGCCCGTTTAATCCGATTTTATTGCTAATACTTCCTCCATGTAAACGTAGCTATTGATTGATTCGTTGACTGATGCATTCATTCATTCATTCATTCATTCATTCATTCATTCATTCTTCTTCAGAGTATTTCCTGGGATCTAATCAGACACACCACCACCAAGAGCAGTCCAAGCTGGTGCAGGGGTTAGAACTTACAACCCATGTATGGAGGCCTTAGTCCTCGACCCGGGTTCGAATCCGACCTGTGGTCCTTTCCTGCATGTCCCTCCCACTCTCTCATCCCCCCTTTCCTGTCAGCCTACTGTCCACTAGTGCCGTAAATAATCATATCTGTCATTTTGTACACAGGAATGTAAACAAAGAGAAATTTTGTTTAAAAAATGTAATTAATAGTTCACTGTGATTGTTTCCGTGAACATTAAAGGTACACTATGCAACCGGTGTTGATTTTCCAGCGAGGCTCCCCCCAGAGGGCGAAAGTAAAAGTGCACTGTCGTAAATATGCACAGCTGTTCTCCTGGTTTCTCCGTCAAGCCAGGCGCGGTTGTTTTGAGCTTAGCAGACAGGCGAACGCAACGAATGACTAATGCTGCGTTCACACCGCAGCTGGCGCGACAGAAGCAGCGAGTTTACATGCAACGTAACATCAATGCGCAGCAAAAGGTCCCGCGGCGCGTTTTGAGCAGCAGGCGCAGCACGTCTGAGCATGCATAGTGTGCCTTTAAACTCTGATGCCTCTAAATAAAATGCAGTAAACCTTCAGGGGGCTAACGGGGGCCCATCTGCAGATATTCTGGCTTTAGACTTACTTAAACTGAAAACTAGAAGACCAAGACAGCAACATTGGTCAGGTTTCCATTCCGTTTGCTGCCAGAACATCTAGACATTGGAGGATGACCCACCCTCAGACCCACCAGGACATGGAGGTCCACCTCGAATGGAGGCGCCCTGATGAACATGATGCTAACAGGAGGCCCCGTGTCTCTACTGAACAACACCCAGTGAAACAGGCTGCTGGACGCAGAACATCTGAGGAACATCTGACTGGATCTTTGTTCCAATACATCATCTAAACCCTGAAGAAGCACCTTGGAAGTCCTTGAAATGCTGTTTGTTGGAGCAGGTGAAGCCTCGCATGGAGCCGTCCCTGTACTCCTTGAAGAGGCCAACATCCTCAGCACCAGACAGCAGCCGCTCCCTGGAGGCGCCTACCAGAAACAAGTTGGGATTCTCCTTCTCCACAGCTCCCAGTCCAGGACCCAGCTGCTCCACCAGTAAGCCGGCACCTGGAGAGGAGAGGATATGACTGGATCTATGGAGGCCAGCAACTGGAGAGAGCAGGACTATGGAAAGAGCGGAATGAGAGACAGACGGAATGAGAGACAGAGCAGAAGGACAGAAAGAGCGTCAGATGGACAGACGGACAGCGTGTCAGACGGACAGACCTCCAGTCTCCTGCGGCTCTCGGATCCTGCCCAGCAGCCATGTGATGGCCTCCTGCTTGGTATCAGGAAGCAGCTCCAGAACCACCAGCGGGCTGAAGGCGCTGCTGTCTGCTGGTGGCACCATCATCCCATCAACTGGAGATCCTGCAGCAGACAGACAAAGATGCTGGTTTTCCTCTGCCAAAGAACCAGAACCATCCTGAGCCCAATGATTGGTCACTTGAATGGATTTATTGCCAAGTGTAGGCAGGACGATGCTTTCTGAATTACCATTGCATCATCAACCAACAAGGCTATGCGCTAAAATGCTCAACATGAAAGAAATCACGGATGTCGCAACGAAGATCGCCTGTGCTATTGGAGCCCGGTCTCTTCAAAGACGGTTGTTCTGTGCACATCTGGAGCAGGCTGACTGCGAACACTCGGACTTGTTGCTACACACTGACCTGAGGTGGCTTAGCCGAGGGAAATTCCTGCAAAGATTTCGGAAGCTCTTCCCGGAGATTAAGGAGTTTCTCTGTGAAACTGGGCATGCAGAATACAAACCAAGTGACGGTGAATGGCTGTTAGACTTGGCATTTTTAACTGATCTGACAAACATGTTGAACGACCTGCGAGCTGCAAGGAAAACACCAAACAGTGATCACTATGATCAGCTCAGTTAATACTTTCAAACACAAACTGCAACATCTGTCCTCAAAGCTGCAGCGCCATGATTTGGCAAACTTCCAGAACCTGGCGTCAGAGCTGGAGATGCAGGGGAAGGCCATGGGCAACGTGACAGTGAACGCTACACAGAACAGATTGACAGACAGCTGTATGTCACTTTCAAGACCGTTCTTTGCTGGAGCCAGTTGCAACATTCAGGTGTTGTTTTCGGGAAGATGTGGAGATTGATTCACTCTCATCACAAAGTGCAACACTGTTTCAGCTGAACTCTTCTGGAGTGGAAGATGAGATATTCACTACAGGCTGACATTGAGCTGAAGTCCAGAGCTCATGGACTATTGGTATGGAACTACCAGCAGAGGGAAGGTATCCCAACATGAGGAAATGCGCTACCTCCTTGACTGCATTTTTCGGCTCCACTTATTTATGTGAGTCAGCCTTTTCCTACAGGAAGATAATGTCCCAGTACGGCTCCACTGGGACTGAACTGGAAATGTGCTTGAGGCTGGCTGTCAGATGCTACTGTCCTGGCTATATATCCCTGGCTGATTCAATTCAGTGCAAGTCATCAGAGTGAACTCAGAAAATGGCAAAGAATGTACATAATTATGTTGTTGTTCAACATGTGGTTATCCATCAACATACGCTGTAAGAATCCTCAACATATTTTTCTCAATAAATATAATGGGTAGATAATTTTGACTTGGTCATTTCAAAAGTAGCTCCCATGCTGAAAAACTGTGAGCACCCCTGAAGTAGAGGAAGTGAGGAAAGCAAACCAAGTGATTGCCTGGGACCCCGAGACTATTGCTCTGTTCTAAATCACAGGACGCGTCCTTAGAAGGACAGATTCAAAGGACGATGACGTCATAGCGCGGCGCCGAGGTCTGGTCAGATTCCAAGACTCCTCGTTATGCGGCCTTAAAATGCGTCCTTCTTTTAGCCCGATTTGAAAGACGGGTCCGATGTATCTTCCGTAGCCTTGGGTATCCCAGGATTCATTGCGAGACCAAGCAAGCAGGCTGCTCCGTGATCAGAGGAAAAAGGGAAATGGCGCCGAACAGTGGTGAATATTGGAAGTTCAGTTTAATATAATCCAGTCTGTGAATAGTTCCGTCTGAAATGAATGAAAATAGTTGTTTTAATGGTCATAGAGTCAGATATGTGGCGGTAATGTTTGATTTAGCTAAAGGTTTTTATCTGTTGGGTTTGGCTGGAATTTAAGGACATAATTTAATAGATCTGCAGGGTGGGGACTATAAATCTGATAGGATTTTTATCTTTTTATTGCTGTTTTGCACAATATGCTTAACTACGTATTTTTTGTTGTTGAATATTACAGATTTTGCAGATATATTTTTTTATAAATACATTGTTTAGATTTACTTATATCTTTCTACCGCTTTTATAGAATAGAATAGAAAATCCCTTTATTGTCCCACAATGGGCAAATTTACAGCAGCAGAAAGATTATTGAAAATGGTCACACAAATGTGGACCTTAGAAAAATGTATAAGAATAACATAGTAGGGAAGAGTTAAAATATAAACAATAAAATCCTGTAAAGTGTTTTAACAATATAAAACTGGAGAACAAATAACCAATATACAGCTATGGACATTTTTACAGTAATTTGAAAATCAGTCATCAGTCTTTGTTCACTTTATAATAAAAAATAAATAAATAAACAAACAGTTTTGAAAACCTCGGTATTCATTCTTTTCCTGCTTTGTGTGTCAACTTTCACGGTTGCTAAGCAACAGAGCATACGGTGGTAAAACCCGCCGAATGGTATACCTGTTTGAATTTACAGCCAAAACTCTTCCGGTCTCCTTAATTTCAAGGAGTTGGAAGGATCCAGTCTAGGTAGACCGCGTCCTTGGAGGATCCAGTCTAGGTAGACCGCGTCCTTGGAGGATCCAGTCTAGGTAGACCGCGTCCTTGGAGGATCCAGTCTAGGTAGACCGCGTCCTTGGAGGATCCAGTCCAGGTAGACCGCGTCCTTGGAGGATCTAGTCTAGGTAGACCGCGTCCTTGGAGGATCCAGTCTAGGTAGACCGCGTCCTTGGAGGATCCAGTCTAGGTAGACCGCATCTTTGGAGGATCCAGTCTAGGTAGACCGCGTCCTTACAGGATGCAGCCCAGGTTTTCCGACAGAGCCAATGGCTCTCCTGGTTATGAATTGAATCTAACAACAGTCAGCGTGAGCGGCCATTTTGAATTCCGTGACTGTGCACATGGAGTCAGAGTATTTCCTGGGATGGGCGGGCAGAAAAGTAGAACACCGTCATTGGAGTACACCTCAGGGGCCCCTCCACTGAGAACTTCCTAATCAGCCGGAGCTGTAGGGTCAAAGACGGGCTGCAATTCATATCCACAAACCTTTGCAACCAGTCATCCTGTCCCTGCACCCCACAGCATGATGCTGCCACCACCATGTCTCACTGTTGGGATGGTATTGGGCAGGTGATGAGCAGCGCCTGGTTTTCTCCACACATTCCGCTTAGTATTAACAACAAAAAGATCAATCCTGGTCTGATCAGAGCAGAGAATCTTCTTCCTCATAGTCTGGGAGTCCTTCATGGGTTTTTTGCCTTTCATCTGTCTGTCTGCTCTGAGGAGAGGCTTCCGTCGGGCCGCTCTGCCATAAAGCACCGACTGGTGGAGAGTTGCAGTGATAGTTCACTTTGTGGAACTTTCTCCCATCTCCCTCCTGCACCTCTGGAGCTCAGACAGAGATCTTTGGCTTCTTCTTTACCTCTCTGACCATTGCTCGGGTTGGCTGGACGTCCAGGTCTAGGAAGAGTTCTGCTCGTCCCAAACTTCTTCCATTGGAGGATGATGGAGCCGCTGAGGAACCTGTTTAGGAACCTTGGCCTGATGTGAGCCTGGCCTCAGTCTCTGAGCTCCTTTCCTTCCCCCTCATGGTTCTGCTTTGCTCTGTGAGCTGGAAGCTCTTCAATAGACAGCACTTTTTATTTGAATACATTTGCGAACATTTCTACATTTCTGTTTATTTCTGCCAGGATGGGGAGCTGAGTGAACATTAATGAGGGATGAATGAAATAAAATCAACTCCATTGACTAATCCTAGTCAATGAAGTAATCCTATTCCTAGAATAATGCTAGATTTCTTTTTAATCCAGTTGCCAAACTTCCACCATAATGAACTTTTTGAAGAGTTTCAGTCTGGCTTTAGAGCTCATCATAGCACTGAAACAGCTCTGGTGAAAGTCACTAATGATATTCTCATGGCCTCAGATAATGGACTTGTATCTGTGCTCGTCCTGTTGGATCTCAGTGCTGCATTTGATCCAGTTGATCATAATATTCTTTTAGAAAGACTTGAATATTTTGTTGGAATTAAAGGAACAGCTCTAGACTGGTTTAAATCTGATCTATCTGATCGATTTCAGTTTGTTCATGTTAATGATAGATCTTCCTCATGCTCAAAGGTTACCTGTGGAGTACCACAGGGATCAGTGCTAGGACCAATTCTCTTTACTTTATACATGCTCCCAATTGGTAGAGTTATTAGACAGCATGGGATTAATTTTCACTGTTATGCTGATGATACCCAGCTATATCTGTCTATAATCCAGATGAAGCTAACCCATTACATAGATTACAGGCATGTCTTGAAGACATAAAAACCTGGATGACTCTTAACTTTCTGCTTCTGAATGCAGACAAAACAGAAGTTATAGTCTTTGGACCACAGTCTCTGAAAAAGAAGCTGATTAGACAAAATTAGAATGGGAGGCAGATCTTTTAGTTCTCAGGCTCCTCTCCTGTGGAACCAACTACCAGTTTTAGTCCGTGAGGCAGACACCCTGTCTACTTTTAAGGCTAGGCTTAAAACTTTCCTTTTTGATAAAGCTTCTAGTTAGAGAGGCTCAGGTTATCCTGAGCTATCTCTATAGTTCTGCTGCTATAGGCTTAGACTGCTGGAGGACATAGGGACCCCTTTTCATCATTCTGCTTCATTCTATCTCTATTCTCCCACTCTGCAGAATCTGTTAGTTCAATCTCTAACGTTCTGCTCTCTCTGCTTTTTCTCATAGTAGCTTCATCTGGTCTGTTCCTGTTTGGCTGTGACTCCATCCTGGAGAGAAATATCAGCTGTGCTGCTGCCATCAACACCTTTGTTTCTAGATGCTGGAGCTTGGCCTGTTTTCCAGTGTAGTCCTGTTTCTCTGACTGTGACTAACTGGATGTGCTCTCTTCATCCTCTGACATGGGAGCTGGCTCAGACCTCGTCTGCCTGGCTGTGTGTTTCCTGGACGGGGCCGCCTGTGGAGCTGGTTGACAGTTGCCTTTTGTATCTATGCTTCTTTTTCTATGTCTGCTTCTGTCTCCTTGAACCCCAGTGGGCCTCAGCAGATGGCCGCTCACACTGAGCCTGGTTCTGCTGGAGGTTTCTTCCTGTTCAAAGGGAGTTTTTCCTCTCCACTGTCGCTACAAGCATGCTTAGTGTGAGGGATTGCTGAAGAGTCAATGAGTCGATGCAATCAGCTGGTTTTCCTTAGAAAAATTCAAATCAATCTGACTGGATGATCTGGTTGATGTGGATCTGTAAAATGAGCTGAGATGTTATGATGTGAATTGGAGCTATAGAAATAAACTGAATAGAACTGAATATCCATGTCTACCTGCTGTTCACTGTGCTGTAAGCAAAAAACACTTCGTACAAATCTTAAATCTGAGTAACAGACTTCAAAGCTGCTGTCAGGATTGGTTAGTAGTAAAAGGAAAAACAGCAGCATTAACAATGAACATGGAAGAAAAGAAATGATAAGAGAATAGATCTCTGTCTCTGAGCTGCTAGCAGTGATATCACACAAACGGGTTAATATCCCAGTTTATCCCTGCTTGGCATGGTGAGGGGTGCTGGTGTCTCCAGCTGTCTACCGGTGAGAGGAGGGTCCACCCTGGACAGGGAGGAGGGTCCACCCTGGACAGAGAGGAGGGTCCACCCTGGACAGGGAGGAGGGTCCACTCTGGACAGGGAGGAGGGTCCACTCTGGACAGGGAGGAGGGTCCACCCTGGACAGAGAGGAGGGTCCACCCTGGACAGGGAGGAGGGTCCACCCTGGACAGAGAGGAGGGTCCACTCTGGACAGGGAGGAGGGTCCACCCTGGACAGAGAGGAGGGTCCACTCTGGACAGGGAGGAGGGTCCACCCTGGACAGAGAGGAGGGTCCACTCTGGACAGGGAGGAGGGTCCACCCTGGACAGAGAGGAGGGTCCACTCTGGAGGGGTCTCCAGTCCACCGCAGGGCAACATGGAGACAAACAGGACAAACAACCATTCACACACACACTCACCTAAGGAGAATTTAGAGAAGCCAATTAACCTAACAGCCATGTTTTTGGACGGTTAGGAGGAACCCGGAGCACCCAGAGAGAACCCACTCATGCTCAGGGAGAACATGCTAACTCCATGCAGAAACAACCCAATGCTGTCAAACTATTTTTTTTTTTATCCGATTGATTATAAAATATTTATAATTAACTGTGGGCCCCAAAATTCCTTTAAACGGCCCTGGAAATGTGATCATGACAGGTGAGGACAGGAGAAGGGTGGGGGACAGGGATCGGGGGAGGACAGTGGGGGGCAGGGGGATAGCCGCCCTGACTCCGCCGCTCCGGCAGCATCAGAGACATTAACTCCTCCTAATCTGCTCCTTTTCTCCTCCAAACACTCACCGCGCTCCTTCTTTCTCCTCAGCGGCTGAAAACTCCTCAGTCACTTCCGCTTTCAGTCCAGCTGTCAGCGTGGCTCCGCCCACAGCGGTGAGCTGGCAGCCAGGCCGGCCGCTCACCGGAGCTACCCCGGAAAGGAAATCAAACAGACCCACTGGGACTGGGCTACGTCAGCGCGAGCGGGGTCACGTGACTTCATCAGCATGGCGGAGGGTGACCAGACGGCCGACGAAGGGTCAGTAGAGCTCTGTGTCTGTCCGAACCGCTGCCGAACCTCTTTAGCCAATCAGAACCGGCTTTTAGAGGTTCGGTTCTGTGTGAACTGGCTGCCATGGCAACCTGAGCCCAGGAGCAGCCAGGGATCCACATAGCTCTATCCACATAGATATCTGTTTAGAAACACGAACCAAAACCCTGGGTCCATCGGGCTATGATGGGTCAGCCTCGGTCCGGTCCGGTCCGGTCCGGTCCGGTGTCACATCCAGTGATTTGTCATCTTTGAAGCTGTTTTTAAGTCCAAAGTGGGAGCATAGCTGATGGTTCCCTTATGTCTGCAGCATAGCTGATGGTTCCTTCATGTCTGCAGCACAGCTGATGGTTCCTTCATGTCTGCAGCATAGCTGATGGTTCCTTCATGTCTGCAGCATAGCTGATGGTTCCTTCATGTCTGCAGCATAGCTGATGGTTCCTTCATGTCTGCAGCATAGCTGATGGTTCCTTCATGTCTGCAGCACAGCTGATGGTTCCTTCATGTCTGCAGCATAGCTGATGGTTCCTTCATGTCTGCAGCATAGCTGATGGTTCCTTCATGTCTGCAGCACAGCCGATGGTTCCTTCATGTCTGCAGCATAGCTGATGGTTCCTCATGTCTGCAGCACAGCTGATGGTTCCTAGCTGATGGGTCCTTCATGTCTGCAGCACAGCTGATGGTTCCTTCATGTCTGCAGCATAGCTGATGGTTCCTTCATGTCTGCAGCATAGCCGATGGTTCCTAGCTGATGGTTCCTTCATGTCTGCAGCATAGCCGATGGTTCCTTCATGTCTGCAGCATAGCTGATGGTTCCTTCATGTCTGCAGCATAGCTGATGGTTCCTTCATGTCTGCAGCATAGCTGATGGTTCCTTCATGTCTGCGGCATAGCTGATGGTTCCTCATGTCTGCAGCATAGCTGATGGTTCCTCATGTCTGCAGCATAGCTGATGGTTCCTCATGTCTGCAGCACAGCTGATGGTTCCTTGATGGTTCCTTCATGTCTGCAGCACAGCTGATGGTTCCTTCATGTCTGCAGCATAGCTGATGGTTCCTCATGTCTGCAGCACAGCTGATGGTTCCTTGATGGTTCCTCATGTCTGCAGCACAGCTGATGGTTCCTTGATGGTTCCTTCATGTCTGCAGCACAGCTGATGGTTCCTTCATGTCTGCAGCATAGCTGATGGTTCCTTCATGTCTGCAGCATAGCTGATGGTTCCTCATGTCTGCAGCATAGCTGATGGTTCCTCATGTCTGCAGCATAGCTGATGGTTCCTTATGTCTGCAGCATAGCTGATGGTTCCTTATGTCTGCAGCATAGCTGATGGTTCCTTATGTCTGCAGCATAGCTGATGGTTCCTTATGTCTGCAGCATAGCTGATGGTTCCTCATGTCTGCAGCATAGCCGATGGTTCCTTCATGTCTGCAGCATAGCTGATGGTTCCTTCATGTCTGAGGCATAGCTGATGGTTCCTAGCTGATGGTTCCTTCATGTCTGCAGCACAGCTGATGGTTCCTTCATGTCTGCAGCACAGCTGATGGTTCCTTGGTGGTTCCTTCATGTCTGCAGCACAGCTGATGGTTCCTTCATGTCTGCAGCATAGCTGATGGTTCCTTGATGGTTCCTTCATGTCTGCAGCACAGCTTATGGTTCCTCATGTCTGCAGCATAGCTGATGGTTCCTCATTTCTGCAGCATAGCTGATGGTTCCTCATTTCTGCAGCATAGCTGATGGTTCCTCATGTCTGCAGCATAGCTGATGGTTCCTCATTTCTGCAGCATAGCCGATGGTTCCTCATGTCTGCAGCATAGCTGATGGTTCCTTGATGGTTCCTTCATGTCTGCAGCACAGCTGATGGTTCCTCATGTCTGCAGCATAGCTGATGGTTCCTCATTTCTGCAGCATAGCTGATGGTTCCTCATTTCTGCAGCATAGCTGATGGTTCCTCATGTCTGCAGCACAGCTGATGGTTCCTCATTTCTGCAGCATAGCTGATGGTTCCTCATTTCTGCAGCATAGCCGATGGTTCCTCATGTCTGCAGCATAGCTGATGGTTCCTTGATGGTTCCTTCATGTCTGCAGCACAGCTTATGGTTCCTCATGTCTGCAGCATAGCTGATGGTTCCTCATTTCTGCAGCATAGCTGATGGTTCCTCATTTCTGCAGCATAGCTGATGGTTCCTCATGTCTGCAGCATAGCTGATGGTTCCTCATTTCTGCAGCATAGCCGATGGTTCCTTCATGTCTGCAGCATAGCTGATGGTTCCTTGATGGTTCCTTCATGTCTGCAGCACAGCTGATGGTTCCTTCATGTCTGCAGCATAGCTGATGGTTCCTTGATGGTTCCTTCATGTCTGCAGCATAGCTGATGGTTCCTTGATGGTTCCTTCATGTCTGCAGCACAGCTGATGGTTCCTCATGTCTGCAGCATAGCTGATGGTTCCTCATTTCTGCAGCATAGCCGATGGTTCCTCATGTCTGCGGCATAGCCGATGGTTCCTTCATGTCTGCGGCATAGCTGATGGTTCCTTCATGTCTGCGGCATAGCTGATGGTTCCTCATGTCTGCGGCATAGCCGATGGTTCCTAGCTGATGGTTCCTTCATGTCTGCGGCATAGCTGATGGTTCCTAGCTGATGGTTCCTTCATGTCTGCAGCACAGCTGATGGTTCCTATATGTCTGCAGCATAGCTGATGGTTCCTTCATGTCTGCAGCATAGCTGATGGTTCCTAGCTGATGGTTCCTTCATGTCTGCAGCATAGCCGATGGTTCCTTCATGTCTGAGGCATAGCTGATGGTTCCTAGCCGATGGTTCCTTCATGTCTGCAGCACAGCTGATGGTTCCTTCATGTCTGCAGCATAGCTGATGGTTCCTCATGTCTGCAGCACAGCTGATGGTTCCTTGATGGTTCCTTCATGTCTGCAGCACAGCTGATGGTTCCTTCATGTCTGCAGCATAGCTGATGGTTCCTTCATGTCTGCAGCATAGCTGATGGTTCCTTCATGTCTGCAGCATAGCTGATGGTTCCTTCATGTCTGCAGCATAGCTGATGGTTCCTTCATGTCTGCAGCATAGCTGATGGTTCCTTCATGTCTGCAGCATAGCTGATGGTTCCTTCATGTCTGCAGCATAGCTGATGGTTCCTTCATGTCTGCAGCATAGCTGATGGTTCCTTCATGTCTGCAGCACAGCTGATGGTTCCTTCATGTCTGCAGCATAGCTGATGGTTCCTTCATGTCTGCAGCATAGCTGATGGTTCCTAGCTGATGGTTCCTTCATGTCTGCAGCATAGCTGATGGTTCCTTCATGTCTGAGGCATAGCTGATGGTTCCTAGCTGATGGTTCCTTCATGTCTGCAGCACAGCTGATGGTTCCTTCATGTCTGCAGCATAGCTGATGGTTCCTTCATGTCTGCAGCATAGCTGATGGTTCCTAGCTGATGGTTCCTTCATGTCTGCAGCATAGCTGATGGTTCCTTCATGTCTGCAGCACATCTGATGGTTCCTTCATGTCTGCAGCATAGCTGATGGTTCCTTCATGTCTGAGGCATAGCTGATGGTTCCTAGCTGATGGTTCCTTCATGTCTGCAGCACAGCTGATGGTTCCTTCATGTCTGCAGCACATCTGATGGTTCCTTCATGTCTGCAGCACAGCTGATGGTTCCTTCATGTCTGCAGCACAGCTGATGGTTCCTTGATGGTTCCTTCATGTCTGCAGCACAGCTGATGGTTCCTCCATGTCTGCAGCATAGCTGATGGTTCCTTCATGTCTGCAGCACATCTGATGGTTCCTTCATGTCTGCAGCACAGCTGATGGTTCCTTCATGTCTGCAGCACAGCTGATGGTTCCTTGATGGTTCCTTCATGTCTGCAGCATAGCTGATGGTTCCTTCATGTCTGCAGCACATCTGATGGTTCCTTCATGTCTGCAGCACAGCTGATGGTTCCTTCATGTCTGCAGCACAGCTGATGGTTCCTTGATGGTTCCTTCATGTCTGCAGCACAGCTGATGGTTCCTCCATGTCTGCAGCACAGCTGATGGTTCCTTGATGGTTCCTTCATGTCTGCAGCACAGCTGATGGTTCCTTCATGTCTGCAGCATAGCTGATGGTTCCTTCATGTCTGCAGCATAGCTGATGGTTCCTTCATGTCTGCAGCATAGCTGATAGTTCCTAGCTGATGGTTCCTTCATGTCTGCAGCATAGCTGATGGTTCCTCATTTCTGCAGCATAGCTGATGGTTCCTCATGTCTGCAGCATAGCTGATGGTTCCTCATTTCTGCAGCATAGCCGATGGTTCCTCATGTCTGCAGCATAGCTGATGGTTCCTTGATGGTTCCTTCATGTCTGCAGCACAGCTGATGGTTCCTCATGTCTGCAGCATAGCTGATGGTTCCTCATTTCTGCAGCATAGCTGATGGTTCCTCATTTCTGCAGCATAGCTGATGGTTCCTCATGTCTGCAGCACAGCTGATGGTTCCTCATTTCTGCAGCATAGCTGATGGTTCCTCATTTCTGCAGCATAGCTGATGGTTCCTCATTTCTGCAGCATAGCTGATGGTTCCTCATTTCTGCAGCATAGCCGATGGTTCCTCATGTCTGCAGCATAGCTGATGGTTCCTTGATGGTTCCTTCATGTCTGCAGCACAGCTTATGGTTCCTCATGTCTGCAGCATAGCTGATGGTTCCTCATTTCTGCAGCATAGCTGATGGTTCCTCATTTCTGCAGCATAGCTGATGGTTCCTCATGTCTGCAGCATAGCTGATGGTTCCTCATTTCTGCAGCATAGCCGATGGTTCCTTCATGTCTGCAGCATAGCTGATGGTTCCTTGATGGTTCCTTCATGTCTGCAGCACAGCTGATGGTTCCTTCATGTCTGCAGCATAGCTGATGGTTCCTTGATGGTTCCTTCATGTCTGCAGCATAGCTGATGGTTCCTTGATGGTTCCTTCATGTCTGCAGCACAGCTGATGGTTCCTCATGTCTGCAGCATAGCTGATGGTTCCTCATTTCTGCAGCATAGCCGATGGTTCCTCATGTCTGCGGCATAGCCGATGGTTCCTTCATGTCTGCGGCATAGCTGATGGTTCCTTCATGTCTGCGGCATAGCTGATGGTTCCTCATGTCTGCGGCATAGCCGATGGTTCCTAGCTGATGGTTCCTTCATGTCTGCGGCATAGCTGATGGTTCCTAGCTGATGGTTCCTTCATGTCTGCAGCACAGCTGATGGTTCCTATATGTCTGCAGCATAGCTGATGGTTCCTTCATGTCTGCAGCATAGCTGATGGTTCCTAGCTGATGGTTCCTTCATGTCTGCAGCATAGCCGATGGTTCCTTCATGTCTGAGGCATAGCTGATGGTTCCTAGCCGATGGTTCCTTCATGTCTGCAGCACAGCTGATGGTTCCTTCATGTCTGCAGCATAGCTGATGGTTCCTCATGTCTGCAGCACAGCTGATGGTTCCTTGATGGTTCCTTCATGTCTGCAGCACAGCTGATGGTTCCTTCATGTCTGCAGCATAGCTGATGGTTCCTTCATGTCTGCAGCATAGCTGATGGTTCCTTCATGTCTGCAGCATAGCTGATGGTTCCTTCATGTCTGCAGCATAGCTGATGGTTCCTTCATGTCTGCAGCATAGCTGATGGTTCCTTCATGTCTGCAGCATAGCTGATGGTTCCTTCATGTCTGCAGCATAGCTGATGGTTCCTTCATGTCTGCAGCACAGCTGATGGTTCCTTCATGTCTGCAGCATAGCTGATGGTTCCTTCATGTCTGCAGCATAGCTGATGGTTCCTAGCTGATGGTTCCTTCATGTCTGCAGCATAGCTGATGGTTCCTTCATGTCTGAGGCATAGCTGATGGTTCCTAGCTGATGGTTCCTTCATGTCTGCAGCACAGCTGATGGTTCCTTCATGTCTGCAGCATAGCTGATGGTTCCTTCATGTCTGCAGCATAGCTGATGGTTCCTAGCTGATGGTTCCTTCATGTCTGCAGCATAGCTGATGGTTCCTTCATGTCTGCAGCACATCTGATGGTTCCTTCATGTCTGCAGCATAGCTGATGGTTCCTTCATGTCTGAGGCATAGCTGATGGTTCCTAGCTGATGGTTCCTTCATGTCTGCAGCACAGCTGATGGTTCCTTCATGTCTGCAGCACATCTGATGGTTCCTTCATGTCTGCAGCACAGCTGATGGTTCCTTCATGTCTGCAGCACAGCTGATGGTTCCTTGATGGTTCCTTCATGTCTGCAGCACAGCTGATGGTTCCTCCATGTCTGCAGCATAGCTGATGGTTCCTTGATGGTTCCTTCATGTCTGCAGCACAGCTGATGGTTCCTTCATGTCTGCAGCATAGCTGATGGTTCCTTCATGTCTGCAGCATAGCTGATAGTTCCTAGCTGATGGTTCCTTCATGTCTGCAGCATAGCTGATGGTTCCTTCATGTCTGAGGCATAGCTGATGGTTCCTAGCTGATGGTTCCTTCATGTCTGCAGCACAGCTGATGGTTCCTTCATTTCTGCAGCACAGCTGATGGTTCCTTCATGTCTGCAGCACAGCTGATGGTTCCTTCATGTCTGCAGCACAGCTGATGGTTCCTTCATGTCTGCAGCACAGCTGATGGTTCCTTCATGTCTGCAGCATAGCTGATGGTTCCTAGCTGATGGTTCCTTCATGTCTGCAGCATAGCTGATGGTTCCTTCATGTCTGAGGCATAGCTGATGGTTCCTAGCTGATGGTTCCTTCATGTCTGCAGCACAGCTGATGGTTCCTTCATGTCTGCAGCACATCTGATGGTTCCTTCATGTCTGCAGCACAGCTGATGGTTCCTTCATGTCTGCAGCACAGCTGATGGTTCCTCCATGTCTGCAGCATAGCTGATGGTTCCTTGATGGTTCCTTCATGTCTGCAGCACAGCTGATGGTTCCTTCATGTCTGCAGCATAGCTTATGGTTCCTTCATGTCTGCAGCATAGCTGATGGTTCCTTCATGTCTGCAGCATAGCTGATAGTTCCTAGCTGATGGTTCCTTCATGTCTGCAGCATAGCTGATGGTTCCTTCATGTCTGAGGCATAGCTGATGGTTCCTAGCTGATGGTTCCTTCATGTCTGCAGCACAGCTGATGGTTCCTTCATTTCTGCAGCACAGCTGATGGTTCCTTCATGTCTGCAGCACAGCTGATGGTTCCTTCATGTCTGCAGCACAGCTGATGGTTCCTTCATGTCTGCAGCACAGCTGATGGTTCCTTCATGTCTGAGGCATAGCTGATAGTTCCTAGCTGATGGTTCCTTCATGTCTGCAGCATAGCTGATGGTTCCTTCATGTCTGAGGCATAGCTGATGGTTCCTAGCTGATGGTTCCTTCATGTCTGCAGCACAGCTGATGGTTCCTTCATTTCTGCAGCACAGCTGATGGTTCCTTCATGTCTGCAGCACAGCTGATGGTTCCTTCATGTCTGCAGCATAGCCGATGGTTCCTTCATGTCTGCGGCATAGCCGATGGTTCCTTCATGTCTGCGGCATAGCTGATGGTTCCAGCCGATGGTTCCTTCATGTCTGCGGCATAGCCGATGGTTCCTTCATGTCTGCAGCATAGCCGATGGTTCCTTCATGTCTGCGGCATAGCCGATGGTTCCTTCATGTCTGCGGCATAGCTGATGGTTCCAGCCGATGGTTCCTTCATGTCTGCGGCATAGCCGATGGTTCCTTCATGTCTGCAGCATAGCCGATCGTTCCTCATGTCTGCGGCATAGCCGATGGTTCCTTCATGTCTGCGGCATAGCCGATGGTTCCTTCATGTCTGCGGCATAGCCGATGGTTCCTTCATGTCTGCGGCATAGCCGATGGTTCCTTCATGTCTGCGGCATAGCCGATGGTTCCTAGCTGATGGTTCCTTCATGTCTGCAGCATAGCCGATGGTTCCTTCATGTCTGCGGCATAGCTGATGGTTCCTTCATGTCTGCGGCATAGCCGATGGTTCCTTCATGTCTGCGGCATAGCCGATGGTTCCTTCATGTCTGCGGCATAGCCGATGGTTCCTTCATGTCTGCGGCATAGCCGATGGTTCCTTCATGTCTGCGGCATAGCCGATGGTTCCTTCATGTCTGCGGCATAGCCGATGGTTCCTTCATGTCTGCAGCATAGCCGATGGTTCCTTCATGTCTGCGGCATAGCTGATGGTTCCTTCATGTCTGCGGCATAGCTGGTGGTGGTTCCTTCATGTCTGCGGCATAGTTGATGGTTCCTTCATGTCTGCGGCATAGCTGGTGGTGGTTCCTTCATGTCTGCGGCATAGCTGATGGTTCCTTCATGTCTGCAGCATAGCCGATGGTTCCTTCATGTCTGCAGCATAGCTGATGGTTCCTTCATGTCTGCAGCATAGCCGATGGTTCCTTCATGTCTGCAGCATAGCCGATGGTTCCTTCATGTCTGCAGCATAGCCGATGGTTCCTTCATGTCTGCGGCATAGCTGATGGTTCCAGGCGATGGTTCCTTCATGTCTGCGGCATAGCTGATGGTGGTTCCTTCATGTCTGCGGCATAGCCGATGGTTCCTTCATGTCTGCAGCATAGCTAGTGGTTCCTCATAGCTGATGGTTCCTCATGTCTGCAGCATAGCTGATGGTTCCTCATGTCTGCAGCATAGCTGATGGTTCCTCATAGCTGATGGTTCTTCATAGCTGATGGTTCCTCATAGCTGATGGTTCCAGCCGATGGTTCCTTCATGTCTGCGGCATAGCTGATGGTGGTTCCTTCATGTCTGCGGCATAGCCGATTAGCCGATGGTTCCTTCATGTCTGCAGCATAGCCGATGGTTCCTTCATGTCTGCAGCATAGCTGATGGTTCCTCATGTCTGCAGGCTGTTAATAATCAGCACTGTTGGTTATTAGCATGCTATGATATCTGAGCGGATCCAGGGTGCTTTTATTTTGGTTCATAGCTTAAAGATAGTTTCTCTTCCTGCTGCATTCATCTGTTAACTCCCTCACCAGTTCTAATTTTCTGATGTTATTTCTGATCTGGTCACTGACCCTCTCTTCATGTTCTGTAATGGATCTGTTTCCTGTGAGTCATCACTTCCTGCAGACATGGTCAGTTTGCACCAGACTGTCAAGCTAGAAGCAGAACCTCCTCCTGGTGTCAGGTTAAATAATTAGCTCTGCAAAGGAAATATCTACCATTGCTCAGTTTAAAGTCTGTGGTACCTGCTTTGCAGAGGATAACAGGTTTAAACCAGGCAGGCCTTGGAGCTCCGCCTCCTGGAAGGAATCACTCCAGGTTTTCATTGTGGTGAGGAATAAAAGGCAGACAGCTGATGGAAACCTGCTGACCTCACATGTCCTTCTGCTGGTGTACAGGGTGGTGCACAGAGTGCGGTCTGTGGCTGGCGTCCTCCCTCTGACCAGCCGCCTGTGGAGCTACGTGGAGAACACCATCAGGTGAGTTCTGATAACCCCCCCCACCCCGGATGCATTAACCTCAGACAAGCCAGTCAGGCGCTCTGAGCTTGGTTTTGCTGGAAAGGAGAAGCTTTCATCAAGGACTTAATGTCCATTTCTTAGAAATTAAGATGATAAAGAAGAGGGCCGGCCTTGATAAGCCGGAGGGAGGACCAGGAAAGCTCAACACAAACGATGAAGCTGCAGATAAGAATGGAGGAGAAGTTAACTGAGCTGGAGATCCATCCCGTATTTATGGTGTACCTCAGAGGGCAGAGCAGGACTCTGTCCCAAGATGAGCCTAGTTACACATCAACGGGTGCATTGCTCGCTCGGCGCTGTTCAGCCTGATCGTAAGTCGTATAGTGTACAGGGGGTTACGAGCGGCGATCAGCCTCTCACGTCCACCTCCCGATCAGGAATGGTGAGATCGGTAGCAAATCAAACTTGTTTTGATTTTCTCCCGGCCGTCATGGGCAAATCGCTCAGGGCACAAACAAGGATTCTTCTGCTTCTTCTTCTCAGATGAAAACCCTGATGCATGGCAGCCATGCAATGAGTGAAATGGAGTTCTTCCTGTAAAACTGACAGACCGTAGTAGCCATATCTGCTCAGCCATGTCTTTTTTCTAAATACATTGTCTCCTGTTCTTTTTAGGGCTTTTGGCACAAAATTGCACAAATTGCCAAGGCAGGGTGTTTCCCTCTAGTGAGCTTAATAGTCCCCTTCTATTTGTTTGGCTTCCAGATAGATAGATAGATAGTGTGAAAAATATCACACAGTTTACGCCCGGCTTAATGGGACCTATGTGAGGGGGCCAAGGAACCGTGGATTAACCAAATATTATGGGGGTGTAGCAGGCTGGGCCTTCAGGGGCAGCTTTATTATGCCATAGTTCAGACAGAATAAAGCAATGATTTTAACCTGAAATCAGGAACACCTCCTGGAACTGAAAGATAAGGAAGGAGGAACCTGATAATCATCTCCATTGATGGAAGCCTGATTAGGAATCTCTGTTTATCCCATTAGGCAGACATTGGTCTTTGTTCTCTGTGTTTCAGGTGGTGCTGGATCCCTAACTGGCTGCCATCATGGTGTCCCACCTCTCAGAGGCAGCTGAAGGCTGCAGAGGATCACATGCTGCGCTGTAAGCATCACAGCTGTCTTCATTTTTATTCCCATGAACCAATCCATACCCTGAGGGAACAGAGATCAGTAAGCCACATACCTCAGGAAAGGTGATCTGATTGGACCTAATTAGTTCCTGTTAGAATCCTACAAAAAAATCTGCCATTTTATTGCATTATTCAGAATGTTTCTAATGTTGCTCAACAAACCAGCAGCATTTTAAATTGATCCAAGTCCAGCATCTCTGTTGGGACAGATGATGTCTTAGTTTCCTTCTCTGAGGTCTTTTCTGTCTCAGTCTCTACCGGTCATTTAGTCAGCATCAGGACTCTTCCAGAGACGGTGGCTGTGTCGTAGCCCCTCCATCTAACTCCTGTTCTTATGCGCTGCTGCTTCTGCCCCTCGTCCTTCCTCTTTGTCCTGTTGGTATCTTTGCGTTACTGTGCTTACGCTGCCCTAACCGCTAGGGTGCTTACGCCGCCCTAACCGCTAGGGTGCTTACGCTGCCCTAACCGCTTTGGTGCTTACGCCGCCCTAGCCGCTAGGGTGCTTACGCCGCCCTAACCGCTTTGGTGCTTACGGCGCCCTAACCGCTTTGGTGCTTACGCCGCCCTAACCGCTAGGGTGCTTACGCTACCCTAACCGCTAGGGTGCTTACGCCGCCCTAACCGTTTGGTGCTTATGCCGCCCTAACCGCTAGGGTGCTTACGCTGCCCTAACCGCTAGGATGCTTACGCCGCCCTAACCGCTTTGGTGCTTACGCCGCCCTTACCGCTATATTTTGCTTACACCGCCCTAACCGCTATGGTGCTTACACCGCCCTAACCGCTATGTTGCTTACACCGCCCTAACCGCTATGGTGCCTAAGCCGCCCTAACCGCTATGGTGCTTACGCCGCCCTAACCGCTATGGTGCTTACATTGCCCTAACCGCTATGGTGTTTACACCGCCCTAACCGCTATGATGCTTACGCCGCGCTAACCGCTATGGTGCTTGAGCCGCCCTAACCGCTATGGTGCTTACGCCGCCCTAACCGCTATGGTGTTTACACCGCCCTAACCGCTATGATGCTTACGCCGTGCTAACCGCTATGGTGCTTACGCCGCCCTAACCGCTTTGGTGCTTACGCCGCCCTAACCACTTTGGTGCTTACGCCGCCCTAACCGCTAGGGTGCTTACGCCGTCCTAACCGCTAGGGTGCTTACGCTGCCCTAACCGCTAGGGTGCTTACGCTACCCTAACCGCTAGGATGCTTACGCCGCCCTAACCGCTAGGGTGCTTACGCCGCCCTAATCGCTAGGGTGCTTACGCTGTCCTAACCGCTAGGGTGCTTACACCGCCCTAACCGCTTTGGTGCTTACACCGCCCTAACCGCTATGGTGCTTAAGCCGCCCTAACCGCTATGGTGCTTACCCATGGTGCTTACACCGCCCTAATCGCTATATGTTGCTCACGCCACCCTAACCGCTAAGGTGCTTACGCCGCCCTAACCGCTATATGTTGCTTACACCGCCCTAACCGCTATGGTGCTTACACCGCCCTAACCGCTATGTTGCTTACACCACCCTAACTGCTATGGTGCTTACGCCGCCCTTACCGCTATATTTTGCTTACACCGCCCTAACCGCTATGGTGCTTACACCACCCTAACCGCTATGTTGCTTACACCGCCCTAACCGCTATGGTGCCTAAGCCGCCCTAACCGCTATGGTGCTTACGCCGCCCTAACCGCTATGGTGCTTACATTGCCCTAACCGCTATGGTGTTTACACCGCCCTAACCGCTATGATGCTTACGCCGCGCTAACCGCTATGGTGCTTGAGCCGCCCTAACCGCTATGGTGCTTACGCCGCCCTAACCGCTATGGTGTTTACACCGCCCTAACCGCTATGATGCTTACGCCGCGCTAACCGCTATGGTGCTTAAGCCGCCCTAACCGCTATGGTGCTTAAGCCGCCCTAACCGCTATGGTGCTTACGCCACCCTAACCGCTAAGGTGCTTACGCCGCCCTAACCGCTATATGTTGCTTACACCGCCCTAACCGCTATGGTGCTTACACCGCCCTAACCGCTATGTTGCTTACACCACCCTAACTGCTATGGTGCTTACGCCGCCCTTACCGCTATATTTTGCTTACACCGCCCTAACCGCTATGGTGCTTACACCGCCCTAACCGCTATGTTGCTTACACCGCCCTAACCGCTATGGTGCCTAAGCCGCCCTAACCGCTATGGTGCTTACGCCGCCCTAACCGCTATGGTGCTTACATTGCCCTAACCGCTATGGTGTTTACACCGCCCTAACCGCTATGATGCTTACGCCGCGCTAACCGCTATGGTGCTTGAGCCGCCCTAACCGCTATGGTGCTTACGCCGCCCTAACCGCTATGGTGTTTACACCGCCCTAACCGCTATGATGCTTACGCCGTGCTAACCGCTATGGTGCTTACGCCGCCCTAACCGCTTTGGTGCTTACGCCGCCCTAACCACTTTGGTGCTTACGCCGCCCTAACCGCTAGGGTGCTTACGCCGTCCTAACCGCTAGGGTGCTTACGCTGCCCTAACCGCTAGGGTGCTTACGCTACCCTAACCGCTAGGATGCTTACGCCGCCCTAACCGCTAGGGTGCTTACGCCGCCCTAATCGCTAGGGTGCTTACGCTGTCCTAACCGCTAGGGTGCTTACACCGCCCTAACCGCTTTGGTGCTTACACCGCCCTAACCGCTATGGTGCTTAAGCCGCCCTAACCGCTATGGTGCTTACCCATGGTGCTTACACCGCCCTAATCGCTATATGTTGCTCACGCCACCCTAACCGCTAAGGTGCTTACGCCGCCCTAACCGCTATATGTTGCTTACACCGCCCTAACCGCTATGGTGCTTACACCGCCCTAACCGCTATGTTGCTTACACCACCCTAACTGCTATGGTGCTTACGCCGCCCTTACCGCTATATTTTGCTTACACCGCCCTAACCGCTATGGTGCTTACACCACCCTAACCGCTATGTTGCTTACACCGCCCTAACCGCTATGGTGCCTAAGCCGCCCTAACCGCTATGGTGCTTACGCCGCCCTAACCGCTATGGTGCTTACATTGCCCTAACCGCTATGGTGTTTACACCGCCCTAACCGCTATGATGCTTACGCCGCGCTAACCGCTATGGTGCTTGAGCCGCCCTAACCGCTATGGTGCTTACGCCGCCCTAACCGCTATGGTGTTTACACCGCCCTAACCGCTATGATGCTTACGCCGCGCTAACCGCTATGGTGCTTAAGCCGCCCTAACCGCTATGGTGCTTAAGCCGCCCTAACCGCTATGGTGCTTACGCCGCCCTAACCGCTATGGTGCTTACGCAGCCCTAACCGCTATATGTTGATTACACCTCCCTAACCGCTATGGTGCTTACACATTGTGCTTCCGCCGCCCTATTCGCTATGGTGCTTAAGGCGCCCTAACCGCTATGTTGCTTACGCCGCCCTAACCGCTATGGTGCTTAAGCCGCCCTAACCGCTTTGGTGCTTATGCCGCCCTAACCGCTAGGGTGCTTACGCTGCCCTAACCGCTAGGATGCTTACGCCGCCCTAACCGCTTTGGTGCTTACGCCGCCCTAACCGCTAGGGTGCTTACGCCGCCCTAACCGCTAGGGTGCTTACGCCGCCCTAACCGTTAGGGTGCTTACGCCACCCTAACCGCTAGGGTGCTTACGCCACCCTAACCGCTAGGGTGCTTACGCTACCCTAACCGCTAGGGTGCTTACGCCGCCCTAACCGCTTTGGTGCTTACGCCGCCCTAACCACTTTGGTGCTTACGCCGCCCTAACCGCTAGGGTGCTTACGCCGTCCTAACCGCTAGGGTGCTTACGCTGCCCTAACCGCTAGGGTGCTTACGCTACCCTAACCGCTAGGATGCTTACGCCGCCCTAACCGCTAGGGTGCTTACGCCGCCCTAATCGCTAGGGTGCTTACGCTGTCCTAACCGCTAGGGTGCTTACACCGCCCTAACCGCTTTGGTGCTTACACCGCCCTAATCGCTATATGTTGCTCACGCCACCCTAACCGCTAAGGTGCTTACGCCGCCCTAACCGCTATATGTTGCTTACACCGCCCTAACCGCTATGGTGCTTACACCGCCCTAACCGCTATGTTGCTTACACCACCCTAACTGCTATGGTGCTTACGCCGCCCTTACCGCTATATTTTACTTACACCGCCCTAACCGCTATGGTGCTTACACCGCCCTAACCGCTATGTTGCTTACACCGCCCTAACCGCTATGGTGCCTAAGCCGCCCTAACCGCTATGGTGCTTACGCCGCCCTAACCGCTATGGTGCTTACATTGCCCTAACCGCTATGGTGTTTACACCGCCCTAACCGCTATGATGCTTACGCCGCGCTAACCGCTATGGTGCTTGAGCCGCCCTAACCGCTATGGTGCTTACGCCGCCCTAACCGCTATGGTGTTTACACCGCCCTAACCGCTATGATGCTTACGCCGCCCTAACCGCTATGGTGCTTACGCCGCCCTAACCACTTTGGTGCTTACGCCGCCCTAACCGCTAGGGTGCTTACGCCGTCCTAACCGCTAGGGTGCTTACGCTGCCCTAACCGCTAGGGTGCTTACGCTACCCTAACCGCTAGGATGCTTACGCCGCCCTAACCGCTAGGGTGCTTACGCCGCCCTAATCGCTAGGGTGCTTACGCTGTCCTAACCGCTAGGGTGCTTACACCGCCCTAACCGCTTTGGTGCTTACACCGCCCTAACCGCTATGGTGCTTAAGCCGCCCTAACCGCTATGGTGCTTACCCATGGTGCTTACACCGCCCTAATCGCTATATGTTGCTCACGCCACCCTAACCGCTAAGGTGCTTACGCCGCCCTAACCGCTATATGTTGCTTACACCGCCCTAACCGCTATGGTGCTTACACCGCCCTAACCGCTATGTTGCTTACACCACCCTAACTGCTATGGTGCTTACGCCGCCCTTACCGCTATATTTTGCTTACACCGCCCTAACCGCTATGGTGCTTACACCACCCTAACCGCTATGTTGCTTACACCGCCCTAACCGCTATGGTGCCTAAGCCGCCCTAACCGCTATGGTGCTTACGCCGCCCTAACCGCTATGGTGCTTACATTGCCCTAACCGCTATGGTGTTTACACCGCCCTAACCGCTATGATGCTTACGCCGCGCTAACCGCTATGGTGCTTGAGCCGCCCTAACCGCTATGGTGCTTACGCCGCCCTAACCGCTATGGTGTTTACACCGCCCTAACCGCTATGATGCTTACGCCGCGCTAACCGCTATGGTGCTTAAGCCGCCCTAACCGCTATGGTGCTTAAGCCGCCCTAACCGCTATGGTGCTTACGCCGCCCTAACCGCTATGGTGCTTACGCCGCCCTAACCGCTATGGTGCTTACGCAGCCCTAACCGCTATATGTTGATTACACCTCCCTAACCGCTATGGTGCTTACACATTGTGCTTCCGCCGCCCTATTCGCTATGGTGCTTAAGGCGCCCTAACCGCTATGTTGCTTACGCCGCCCTAACCGCTATGGTGCTTAAGCCGCCCTAACCGCTATGTTGCTTACACCACCCTAACTGCTATGGTGCTTACGCCGCCCTAACCGCTATATGTTGCTTACACCGCCCTAACCGCTATGGTGCTTACGCCGCCCTAACCGCTATGTTGCTTACACCACCCTAACTGCTATGGTGCTTAAGCCGCCCTAACCACTATGGTGCTTACGCCACCCTAACCGCTATGTTGCTTACGCCGCCCTAACCGCTATGGTGCTTACGCCACCCTAACCGCTATGTTGTTTACACCACCCTAACTGCTATGGTGCTTAAGCCGCCCTAACCACTATGGTGCTTACACCGCCCTAACCACTATGGTGCTTAAGCCGCCCTAACCGCTATGGTGCTTACGCCACCCTAACCGCTATGGTGCTTAAGCCGCCCTAACCGCTATGGTGCTTACGCCGCCCTAACCGCTATGGTGCTTACGCAGCCCTAACCGCTATATGTTGCTTACACCTCCCTAACCGCTATGGTGCTTACACATTGTGCTTACGCCGCCCTATTCGCTATGGTGCTTAAGGTGCCCTAACCGCTATGTTGCTTACGCCACCCTAACTGCTATGGTGCTTACGCCGCCCTAACCGCTATATTTTGCTTACACCGCCCTAACCGCTATGGTGCTTAAGCCGCCCTAACCGCTATGTTGCTTACACCACCCTAACTGCTATGGTGCTTACGCCGCCCTAACCGCTATATGTTGCTTACACCGCCCTAACCGCTATGGTGCTTACGCTGCCCTAACCGCTATGGTGTTTACACTGCCCTAACCGCTATGGTGCTTACGCCGCCCTAACCGCTATGGTGCTTAAGCCGCCCTAATCGCTATGGTGCTTACCCATGGTGCTTACACCACCCTAACCACCATGGTGCTTAAGCTGCCCTAACCACTATGGTGCTTAATGCGCCCTAACCGCTATATTGCTTACACGGCCCTAACCACTATGGTGCTTACGCCGCCCTATCCGCTATGTTGCTTACGCTGCCCTAACCGCTAGGGTGCTTACGCTACCCTAACCGCTAGGATGCTTACGCCGCCCTAACCGCTAGGGTGCTTACGCCGCCCTAATCGCTAGGGTGCTTACGCTGTCCTAACCGCTAGGGTGCTTACACCGCCCTAACCGCTTTGGTGCTTACACCGCCCTAACCGCTATGGTGCTTAAGCCGCCCTAACCGCTATGGTGCTTACCCATGGTGCTTACACCGCCCTAATCGCTATATGTTGCTCACGCCACCCTAACCGCTAAGGTGCTTACGCCGCCCTAACCGCTATATGTTGCTTACACCGCCCTAACCGCTATGGTGCTTACACCGCCCTAACCGCTATGTTGCTTACACCACCCTAACTGCTATGGTGCTTACGCCGCCCTTACCGCTATATTTTGCTTACACCGCCCTAACCGCTATGGTGCTTACACCGCCCTAACCGCTATGTTGCTTACACCGCCCTAACCGCTATGGTGCCTAAGCCGCCCTAACCGCTATGGTGCTTACGCCGCCCTAACCGCTATGGTGCTTACATTGCCCTAACCGCTATGGTGTTTACACCGCCCTAACCGCTATGATGCTTACGCCGCGCTAACCGCTATGGTGCTTGAGCCGCCCTAACCGCTATGGTGCTTACGCCGCCCTAACCGCTATGGTGTTTACACCGCCCTAACCGCTATGATGCTTACGCCGCGCTAACCGCTATGGTGCTTAAGCCGCCCTAACCGCTATGGTGCTTAAGCCGCCCTAACCGCTATGGTGCTTACGCCACCCTAACCGCTATGGTGCTTACGCAGCCCTAACCGCTATATGTTGATTACACCTCCCTAACCGCTATGGTGCTTACACATTGTGCTTCCGCCGCCCTATTCGCTATGGTGCTTAAGGCGCCCTAACCGCTATGTTGCTTACGCCGCCCTAACCGCTATGGTGCTTAAGCCGCCCTAACCGCTATGTTGCTTACACCACCCTAACTGCTATGGTGCTTACGCCGCCCTAACCGCTATATGTTGCTTACACCGCCCTAACCGCTATGGTGCTTACGCCGCCCTAACCGCTATGTTGCTTACACCACCCTAACTGCTATGGTGCTTAAGCCGCCCTAACCACTATGGTGCTTACGCCACCCTAACCGCTATGTTGCTTACGCCGCCCTAACCGCTATGGTGCTTACGCCGCCCTAACCGCTATGTTGTTTACACCACCCTAACTGCTATGGTGCTTAAGCCGCCCTAACCACTATGGTGCTTACACCGCCCTAACCACTATGGTGCTTAAGCCGCCCTAACCGCTATGGTGCTTACGCCACCCTAACCGCTATGGTGCTTAAGCCGCCCTAACCGCTATGGTGCTTACGCCGCCCTAACCGCTATGGTGCTTACGCAGCCCTAACCGCTATATGTTGCTTACACCTCCCTAACCGCTATGGTGCTTACACATTGTGCTTACGCCGCCCTATTCGCTATGGTGCTTAAGGCGCCCTAACCGCTATGTTGCTTACGCCACCCTAACTGCTATGGTGCTTACGCCGCCCTAACCGCTATATTTTGCTTACACCGCCCTAACCGCTATGGTGCTTAAGCCGCCCTAACCGCTATGTTGCTTACACCACCCTAATTGCTATGGTGCTTACGCCGCCCTAACCGCTATATGTTGCTTACACCGCCCTAACCGCTATGGTGCTTACGCCGCCCTAACCGCTATGGTGTTTACACTGCCCTAACCGCTATGGTGCTTACGCCGCCCTAACCGCTATGGTGCTTAAGCCGTCCTAACCGCTAGGGTGCTTACGCTGCCCTAACCGCTAGGGTGCTTACGCTACCCTAAGCGCTAGGATGCTTACGCCGCCCTAACCGCTATGGTGCTTACGCCGCCCTAACCGCTATATGGTGCTTACGCCGCCCTAACCGCTATGGTGCTTACGCCGCCCTAACCGCTATGGTGCTTTCGCCGCCCTAACCGCTATATGGTGCTTACGCCACCCTAACCGCTATGGTGCTTACGCCGCCCTAACCGCTATATGGTGCTTACGCCGCCCTAACCGCTATGGTGCTTACGCCGCCCTAACCGCTATGGTGCTTACGCCGCCCTAACCGCTATATGGTGCTTACGCCGCCCTAACCGCTATGGTGCTTACGCCGCCCTAACCGCTATGGTGCTTTCGCCGCCCTAACCGCTATATGGTGCTTACGCCACCCTAACCGCTATGGTGCTTACGCCGCCCTAACCGCTATATGGTGCTTACGCCGCCCTAACCGCTATGGTGCTTACGCCGCCCTAACCGCTATGGTGCTTACGCTGTCTATTTCTATGTCTGCTTCTGTCTCCTTGAACCTCAATCAGCCTCGGCAGATTGCCACTCACACTCCATTTTGAAAAGGAGTTTTTCTCTCCACTGTCGCTGTGTACAGGCTTAGAGTGAGACTCTATCTGTTCTTCCAGGAGGAGAGAATCCTGTAGTGTCACTGATTCGATGCAATCAGCTGGTTTTGAACCAATCTGATTGGATGATCTGTTTCATGATGATAAAAATCAGCAAAAAGCTTTGGAACATTTGAATCTAATTTATTATATCTTTGCAGCCCTGAGAAAACTAGGAAAGGTGTTTTGGTCTCTCCTCTGAGGGCTTGGTTTGGAGTCTATGTGAGTCTGTTTCTTCATTGTTTCCTCTCCTCCTCGTTTTGTTGTCGTCAGGTGTCAGCGTGGAATTCACCAAACAGTTTATTCCCATATCCCGTGGCAACGCCTTGTGGACGCTGACATTTACCAAAGACACTGTTAAAGATAAAACCCCTGTAGTTCTGCTGCACGGGTTTGGAGGTGGAGTGGGTCTCTGGGCCCAGAACCTGGAAGCCCTGGCAGAGCATCACCTGGTCTATGCCCTGGACCTCCTGGGCTTTGGTCAGAGCTCCAGGCCTGTGTTCTCTACGGACCCTCAGGAAGCAGAAACTGAATTTGTTGAGTCTATGGAAGAGTGGAGGGCCAAAGTGGGTTTGGAGTCCATGATTCTCCTGGGCCACAACCTGGGAGGATTCCTGTCTGTGTCCTACTCTATTGCATACCCAGGCAGGTGAGTGCAGAAGTTGGATCAGTTCTTTTCTCTGATTGAAGATTCCTAGCTGTCCTTCTAAAAGCTTTCCCACTCTTCCACATGGTGTCATTTTTAATTTCAGATATTGATGTATTTCAGTGCCCCAGACCAATAGCATGTAAGCTGTTCTAAACAAAAGCACTGGCTCAGGACACCACCTGATCATCATGAATTTATAGCCATATGCCGTTCCGTCTTGATATGATGGAGCAATAGATAAAGGAGTGAATTCCCCAGCAGCAAGTCCTGCAAACATACTTGTACTCGTGGTCTCCCTAATCGTCCGGGTGGCGGGGGGAGCAGTCTCAGCAGAGTCCCAGATTTCCCCCTGTCCAGACTCCTCCACCAACTCTGCAGGGGGAAGCCTGAGGCGCTCCAGGCCAGCAGAGAGACACAGTCCCTCCATTGGATCCTGGTTGTCCCCTTGAACCTCTTCCTGGTGGGACGTGCCTGGAACCCCTCAGAGGGAGGCGTCCAGGAGCTTTTAGAAAAGATATCCATCCTACCTAAACTTACAAGATGGAGGAGCAAGGAGCTGTGAATATACTCTGAGCCTTTCTCAAATGACCAAGCTCCTCCCCCTCTCTCTAAGCGAGAGATCTCCTTCACAGGAAGCTCATTTCAGACACTTGTTCTCAGGGTCTCATTCTTTGAGTTATAATCCAGGTTTGATGACCAGAGGTGAAGGTAGACCATCAGCTAAATCAAGAACTTTGCCTTTTCACTTAGCTCCCTCTACACCTGGACAGACTGGGGCATCATCCACATTATAGCAGCAGCCGCACTGATCTGTCTATCGATCTATTGTTCTCCCCAAAGTCATGAACAGGATCCCACGATACTGAACTTCCCTACTGAAGGCAGGAACTCTCCTGCTACTTGAAGGGGATAAGCCACCATTTTCTGGTCAAGCACCAGAACCGTGCGCTCAGACTTGGCCTGGGAGTTGATTCCCAGGCCCCTTCACAATCAGCTGCAAACCGCCACTGTGCATGGCAGCAGGGAGCCAGCAAAACCATCTGCAAAAACCGGGGACGTGATCTGCTGGTTCCCAAACCAGACCCCCTCTTGGTTGTGGCTAGAAATCGAGACCATAAAGGTCATGAACAGAACCAGTGACAGAGTTAATGCACCAGGAACAGATCCCACCTAATGATGCTAATCAACAGCCTTCCCCACAATCTGAGAAGAGCTCTCCTAGGGGGGGTGTGAACAAGGGCTCCTCCACTACTCGCTTGGGCCTATCTTTCTGTCTGTTCGGCTTCCTCCTCATTCAGCACATCCAACTTATCATCAGGTGGTGGTCGGTGGACAGCTCTGCCCCTCTCTTCACCCCAGTTTCCAAGACATGCGGCTAAAGGTGCAAAAAACGCTGTCCTGGTTCCAGGTGCACCCATGGACATCCTTCTGCTTGAACACAGCGTTCATTATTCACCATCCATGACTGGCTGGGGTCTTTTCCTCCCGATGATGCCCCTCCACATGTCACTGTCGTTTCCCAGAGGGGTGTTGAAGGCCCCCAGCAGAATGAAGGAATACAGCTGCCAGAGAAAACAACAATCCCCACTAAACTTTTGTTTGATTTCATGCTGACAGGAAGAGGCCGAATGGGAGATGCATGAAGGTTCAGCAGCTCAGAGAGACTTAAAAAACAAAAGAACTTTCAAACCAATCCTAAGATGCACAGGGAGCCCAATGATGCAATGATGGAGTCACCATAAAGTGCAATGCACTAATCCAAGTGGTAGTGATAAAGGCCTGAATCACTGTCTCTAAATGTGCTCTGGAGAGAAGGTGCTTTATTTTGGTCGACTGCCTTGGTTGAAAGAAACCTTTCTGTATAGTTGCTTTGATCTGGCCTTCTAAAATAAAGATCAACTTCCACTTTGACCACAATGGTTTAAATTCAATTTAGTTTATTTATATAGCACCAATTCACAACACATGTCATCTCAAGGCACTTTACAGTTCAACCAGATCATCCAGTCAAATTGATTCAAAAGAAATAAGTGACTACCTGTACCACCACTGGGCTAGGTAACCTAGCTCCATGGAGGGAGCCTCCGATGTGCTGCTGCAAACCATGACCTGGTCTTAAGGCCAATTTATGCTTCTGACGCATAGCCTCTGCAACCGTCAAATCTGTCTCTGTGCGCAACCACGCCCCCCACGCAGAGGTTCTGCAACTGTCGTTGAATCCTGACTACGCGTCGGACGATCACAAACCCGCGCAGACCTCAAGCAGACAAAGAGCAGCTGTGATTGGTCCTTTTTATGCCTTTCCAGCTGTCTGTGTGGTCGTCCTTCTCAATTCGGTGCCAAGGCACGCCATTCTTAAAAACCGAGGAACAACGGACAACTACGACAAAAGGTTAATTGAGGAGGTTCGGAAGTACAACCATTTGTACAATGCCTCAGACAAATTTTATAAATAAACATATCGTCTTTGGTGTCTAGCAACTCTAGATCCATCTCCATAACCGTCATATCTTGCAGACGTGCCATTGTTGTTTTGGAAGATAAACACTCCCACCGGCGCCGCCGAAGTTCACGCGAGTTCTCCAATAGGCTCCAGCTTGCGCTTTGGTGGGAAACTGCTGTGCGTCCCAGAAATTCCAGACCCATGGTGCAGAAGCAAACCAGCAAAATTGACCAGTGACCAGACGCAAGCAACATTTGATGTATGCGGTTGCAGAAGTATAATCTGCCCTTTAGGCTCATAACATTTTCAGGCCTTGGAGGCATTCTAACAGCACGTTGTTCCCATCTTTCTTGCTTAGTGGAACATAAATGTGGCTATCATCAGTGGGAATAAGCACCAAGCCTCATTATTGAGCCAAGGTGAAGTAGATAAAGAGCATAAAGCAGAGCCCTGTGGCCTCTCCAAACAATAAGGGAACAGAGGATGAGGTATGATCACCAAGGGAGATGCAGAATGTTCGGTTTTCTGAAGATCATCTTAACCAATCAATCCCTGATGCTGACCTACTGGGCCAAACTAGAGAGTCTACTGTGTCATGAGCAGCAGGTAAGTCCAAGAGAGGAAGAATCACACAGCCAACTGAGTCAGCTGCCAAATACCATGAAAAACCAGGAGCTGCAGCTGGATAATCGCCTCCAGGCTCAGAGAGTTTAACTGTAAATGTTTAATCTCTGCTGGCTTGCATAAACACAGCCTCCTGTTTAGATTTTCATTTTGTGCAAAATTCTGCTTCCTTTGGGGCCCCTACTGGCAGTGCAGCTTCACTCTGACTACCAGATATGCACTTGAAAGGTGTCCTGAATGTGGAGGAAATGGACTAGAGACAGTAGAAATAGAGGATCCTGTTAGCATGCAGGTAGGACAGAACCAGACCAACAAATATTTGTTGGCTGGAACTGGTAGTGAAGCTGTTAGCTAAAGGTTACCTCTGCAGCCTGATTATTCCCATTTTCCTCCAATGCAGAGTGAAACGTATCATACTGGTGGAGCCGTGGGGTTTCCCTGAGTTTCAGGAGACGCTGGAAGCAGACCGACCCGTTCCTGTGTGGATCAAAGCCTTGGGAGCAATGTTCAGCCCCTTCAACCCTCTGGCCGGCCTCAGACTGGTTGGACCCCTCGGTAAGAGTGCAGCACCAGGTAGTGACGGATCATGCATACCTCACTGGCCCTAACTGGAGGAGGAACGTAGTAGTGATGATACAGCTGACGTTGATTCAGAAGAACGTTCAGCCCTGTGAAGAGCTGCTTTGTGTCTCCGTAGGTCCTACTCTGGTGCAGACTATGAGACCGGACTTCAAGAAGAAGTTCTCCTCCATTTTTTCAGACAACACTGTGTCAGAGTATATCTACCACCTAAACGTCCAGTCTCCCAGGTCTGCCTCTCCTGCTCCTCTCTTTCTTTTCCACTCTGAGATCTTCTTTCCACTGATCTATGATTTCATCTCTGATCAGTGGAGAAACTGCTTTTAAGAGCATGACGGGTTCCTGTGGCTGGGCCAAGAGGCCGATGCTTCAGAGGTTGCACCAGCTACCGCCCGACATTCCCATCTCTATCATCTACGGCTCCCGCTCCAGCATAGACAGCGACTCGGCCAGTGCCATCCAGCAGGAGAGAACAGATGTGGACATTGTTGTGAGTAAACACTTCTATTGTCATCCCCAGTATAACCAGTTCAGTTTATAACCAGCAGGTCTGCATCCTCCAGTATAACCAGTAGATCTGCGTCATCCCCAGTATAACCGGTAGATCTGCGTCATCCCCAGTATAACCAGTTCAGTTTATAACCAGCGGGTCTGCATCCTCCAGTATAACCAGTAGATCTGCGTCATCCCCAGTATAACCAGTTCAGTTTATAACCAGCGGGTCTGCATCCTCCAGTATAACCAGTAGATCTGCGTCATCCCCAGTATAACCAGTTCAGTTTATAACCAGCGGGTCTGCATCCTCCAGTATAACCAGTAGATCTGCGTCATCCCCAGTATAACCAGTTCAGTTTATAACCAGCGGGTCTGCATCCTCCAGTATAACCGGTAGATCTGCGTCATCCCCAGTATAACCAGTTCAGTTTATAACCAGCAGGTCTGCATCCTCCAGTATAACCGGTAGATCTGCGTCATCCCCAGTATAACCAGTTCAGTTTATAACCAGCGGGTCTGCATCCTCCAGTATAACCGGTAGATCTGCGTCATCCCCAGTATAACCAGTTCAGTTTATAACCAGCGGGTCTGCATCCTCCAGTATAACCAGTAGATCTGCGTCATCCCCAGTATAACCAGTTCAGT